GGTACAAAGGTCACCACCACATATACCCCAACAGTGACAGCATCCATGATTGAGACACCTACAACGACTCAAACTATTATCACCACCTCGACTGACGTTGTCACTGCTGGACCAACCTCGACTGTTACCGTACCCAGTGGCACGGCCAAGAAGATCAAGACAGTCAGACCCAAGGCAGTCACCACGACATCTACGAAGACTATGACCCGCACTAAGGTCTCCTGGACCAAACAAGTTGGTGTCACTACCAAGACTGTCACAGCCACCTGCACCACTCCAGCTCATGTTGGTAGGCCTGACAAGCCTTGCACATACTCTCCCACCAAGATCCACCCCGCGGCCCTCGAGACACCAACTCACATGCCCAACTACAACCGCTTGTTCCGCAAGGGCGACCGCGAAGTCGACTACGAATGGGCGCGTGCTCGCATTGAGGCCACAAAGCAGAGGCGCGCTGAGCAGGCTGGAAAGCTTGATCGCCGTGCTCCTGACGCTCCCACGACGACTGTCACTTACGGAACTCCAGTCTCAGTAGTCGCTACTATGACTGCGCCAGCTATTACCACAACCGAGACTGTTCTGCTCACAGCCTCTGCTACGACAACGCTTCCTCCTCCCACTGTTCTCTCCGGTCTTCTGACTTTGACCACTACGCTGCCAACTCCGACAAAAACCAAGTTCAGGCTAGCCTTTGCCACCACAACCAAGGTCATCACTTTCGGCGGCACATTTACTAAGACAACAACGGTAACTCCTACGGCGGCAGTGAGTGCCTGCAGAAAGCACGGTGGTCATTTCTGGCGGTTCTAGTGAATCATGGTCTGTGTTAGATTCGGGCCTTTAATTATTTGATTTACATTTGCTGTTGTTCGAGCGCGCATAGCACTGGTTAGACGAATTCATGACTCTTTCTCTACCACAATGTTCAAACCATGTGTCTGTTGCATCTGTCGTGCCTCTGTGATACTGACACTGCCGCCTACCTACAGCCGCCTTGCATCGTCATCCCACCCGCATTGCTCGAGCTGTCAACATGTCACACACGGTATGCATCATCGCCATGTCCAGAACCCTGCCCTGACATGCGAGCAACGACCGAACTCGGACACCAAGTTGGAAGAAGTTCAAGTAAACTTATCCATTGGTACGCCACGGCAACCGCCTTTACGCCCTGGTATCGGCGCTAACATGCTGACACTCACGCCCACAAACCAAGTTTATCAACCCCTGCTCATGGCTGGCTTACCTGCTGCCTGCACATTGCAAGCATTGCAAGCATTGCAAGCGCAGCCTCCTCTCCTGACGTGACACGAACCAAAGTCCCGGCATTCTGCCACATCAATAGCCCCGAGAGTGGGAACACAAGGGTCGTGCAGCTCTCCAGGTCGTAGCGTAGACACTTTCGCGCAGTATCGTGGCAAAGGTCGAATCATGTGGGTCTACCTAATTGGTAGCTTGGTGGGGGATGCAAGCTAGTGTGATCGCTCCAGGGTATGGATCTCCTCTCCGACGTCCGAACGCTTGGAACCTATGTGCGTGTCATCGTCAAAGAATTTGAAGCCTCCATGAGAACGGCCCAGAGGAATCATCATGAGAGATGGATGGCGATGGAGGAGGCACGGCAAGTGCGTGCCGTCTGACTGCTCATCGATAAGACAGCGCACGCACCGAGTTCCTGCTTCCCCGTCGTCGCACATCTCCGCGACCAACATGGACAATGTGGCGTCAGCCACACAGATGACATAATTCCGTACTCCAGACCTAGAAGAGTAAGCCCCGCGACCATAGCTAGGTATGTCTCAGAGGCCCTTAGCCCTCTAGGCGGCCAACAGGAGTCTGAGCACTCTACCTCGCGTCGTGAGTCAGGGCTGATGGCGATGTCACAGTACTTTTCGTATTATCCCCGAGAAGGGCTAAAAAGCTTAAACTAGCTTTGGGTTCGTAGCAGCTATTCTCTTTCTTTCGCTACCAAAGAAACAAGTTCCTGCGCGTGCATGGATCCTGCATTTCCCAACAGCATGTTCACTTTACCTCCTATCGTCCGATGCAGCCTCGAAACTGGGTGCAGTCGCTTACCTTTGATCGCAAGTGAGTGGTGATTGCCTAGGCGCCCCGCACTTTCTGCCAGACGAAAGCCCACATAGCAGCTGAAAGTTTGCGATCGCATTTCGTAGCGTGGTGGAGCAGTGGATTCTCAGTTCACCTGAGCACAAGCTCGAGGCGTATTTTTAGCCGGCCTTGATCACTAGCGGTGCGGATCGGAACGAAAACTACACGAGTACGGTAGCCAACTACCGCCTTGGTATTTGCAGCGTCGCATGGTCATTGGTTTTTCCTATGCGAGCAGCTAAACATTCAACGGGTGGCCTGGCACCGTGTTTTCGCTTTCCTTTTCCCGTCTTGGAAACAGACGAAGTGCTTCTTGAACTTCAGGCGAACAACTAGCTGGCTTACTCAACGTACCAAGCTTTTTGCCTTCAGAGTTGTTTTTCGCAGACGTCGAGTGACAAATAATACAGCAACAAAACCTCTACTGTATGGCTTCGAAAAACCAAACAGCTCTCTGCTCATGAAGTGGACTCGATTACCTAAACCGCTGTTCTGATTCGGCGGAAGCTCCGCGAACATCAGGTCTCCAAGCACGGTAGCCAAGACTTTGGCCGAAAAGTTCCGAGCCGGTGAGCGTGGAGATGAAGAAACAGTCCATAATGTGGAGTATAGGAGCTCGTACGTGCGTGACATCTTTTGACAGCCTTACCTCATCAGGGATACAATGCGGATCACGATCCAAGTGTAAGCAGAGGCGTGGAGTGGACAACGATGCTGTGGGTACGTGGAGTTGGCCGTCAGGGAATCCTCGTTGATCGATTGAAAATTCTGAGATGTACATGTCAAGGTTGAATTCGCTCGATCACAATTCTAAGCGCCCCCATTCGTCTGCTTGGTATTTCAGGCCCTTCGAAATCAATATCTGCAAGGCAATGCTGACTGAAGTCTGCAGCAATAGCAGACTGCTAAGCGTCTGACTCAGGACAGGTACTCGATCCCAGCTCAGTCATCAGCCACTCGAAGGTTAGGCTTACTTGGCTGCATATCTACACGAGGAAGCCTGATCCAACACGCCGCGTCAAGCTCTTTGATCACGAGCATGAGAGTCCAGACAGCATGGTGGACTGAAGACGCTGACTCTTTGCTCGTGTAGTTCATCCTTTCCGTACAGCCACAATTCTTTGTGATCGGTACCATTGCCCCGAAGTCGTACCACGCTGACCGCTGCCTCCTGGATCTGAACTGGAATATGGACTCTCGTGTCGAATAGCGAATGCTCCACTCTACCTCATCGAAATGAGGGTCAAGTCAGCCAAAGCATACAGGATTGCAGCCACTTGGGGATAAGCCCCGAGATGGACTCTGAACTGCGGCCTCAGTATCAACTTTTATGGTGGCCTAACATGGAACCGCAATCATGTCTAGATTGTCAAGGTCTATGGAAGTCCCGTGGTTTTTGGATTTGCTTTCATGTCTGACTTGCAAAGTATAGCCGCACTAGCATTGCAGAGGCGCTCATACAGTGCGTGCGGCAATGCGATCGTACGACGAGGCAGTGTCACCTTCAGAATCCTGGATTTGCCAACTAGAAGATCTGCAGCGATCACGTCCAGTAGGAAGCGTCATATTGTCGTGCAAGATAAGCATAGCACATCTGTCTGCCAAACAAACCTCGAACCCAAATCCTAATGCGATAGCGAGATAAGAATATCAAGCAGATGCAGGGTCCTGTCACAATGCATGCCAACGTGACATCGTGTTTGGTACCGACCCAGAAACGCGTCTCGGTTACCACTACGCAAGCTCTCGCAGCGGTGTTCGAGCAAAAAGCAATAAGGAGCCTCAACGTTCGAAGCGCTCGATATCCCACATTTGAGTTCGGCATCCCGCGCACCGAAGGTTGCGCCGAGGCGACTATTGAACCAAGCCTTGGCTGTCGAGTAGTGAAGAACTCTAAACAACAGCCGGTCTTGGGACTTCGCTATCTCAAAACTTTATTACAATTCGCACGGCTACCTGCATGAACACGGAAATCGATGCTAAAGTTAGCATGCCAGGAAATCTGTGGTAGCGATGACCTCAAGCGTTGCATCTATCGCGAAGATTTGAGATTAGGTGTCGTAGTCGGCTGTCACATGTTGAAAAGCTTTTTCGAGGAGACATCTAGATATTGATGTAAGGCGGCTTAAGTGCGCTCAGACTAGATGACGTTTGGCAAGCGGGTATAGCTATGTAAAGAACCAAAACGACAAATTGTGGTTACTGCAAGAAACTGCCGAATGGCTAATCACAATGTGCGGAAGGCGGTCGTATACCACAGCTGAAGAAGACTTGATTGATACATCGCGTCGAGAAAATGCTTGCTTGCTGTGAATCAAGTGCCCAAAATGTTGTCAGACAACGTGGTGCTCTGGCAGTTGTCCTAACCTCTTCACGGATTGTGCAAGCATCAAAGCATACTGACGAGATTCACATGCTTGGTGCATAGAGGCATGCGACCACGAGTCAAAGCACACCGATAGTGACGATGCCCACCGCGTAAGCAAGTGACAAGATCTCATGTACGTGACATCGTACATCTTGTCACCTTATACCCTGCATCCGAGGCCACCGAGAATGGGCATGAAGATCGTCTCGTGTCTCGTGCCTTGAGCCTACGAGGACTGCATAGTGCAAAGCCCCAGACACGCCCTCGGAAGCACGACCATGTGGATCCACTGCGTGACAGCTGCAATGTTGTGGTACATATGTGCCAAGGATCTCTCGGCGAGAACACTGTTCCGGAGAATGTAATCCTAACGCTTGTGCTTGGAATGAGGCTCTTTCTCCCGAATGAGGGGGTCTGCAGATGGGCATTGGGGGCGTGTTCTTCGATTGAACATAGGGAGTGCCATGTGAGAAGTACAGTGATCTGCACTTGGACGAAGTTGTGTTCTATCGTCCAGCACAACTCAGTTCTCCGTCTCCCAGACAAGCGTCTCGCGCCCTACAAACTGCATCACTGTCCAGGCATTCTTGCCTCCAAAAGCTTGAGCGCTCATAACAAACCACCCCACCTCTTCATCCTTGACCATGCTGTTGCCTTCCATATCGACATCTGTGTCTTGTGTACCATTGAGCTTCTTCCTACATTTGGAGCCTTCTTTTCTAATCGTAAGGAAGAGGTCGCGCACAAACGTCGGCGACATGAAGCCTCTCCATCGCACCGTGACCAAGTTCCTGGTAGCGACACCTTTGCCTAGATCTGGAACGTCGTAACGCGCCAGATGCGGGTTGATGTTGTCGCCCTTTTGCACTCGAGGAGACTTCAGCTGGAGCATGTGGAGGTACTCGAGGAGATCGAGCGCCTCTTCTTGTTCAGCATACAGCTTCGTGAGGTCGCTGACGGGGAGCTGCGGCACAAGAACGTTGTCCATGCTTGTCTCCTCAGGTGCCGTGTTGTGTAGCCAAGGCGCGTGTCTTGAAATCGGTTCCTTGCCCTCAGCAAGCGACTCGGCAGAAGAAGGATTGAAGTTGTAGAAGAGCCAGGTGAGCGACCGATCCAGGACATTCTTGCACGCCCACTCCAGTCTTGAGAATGCCTTTTTCCCATGCTTCATTGAACTAGCGCGCAGATCGTATTCCACTACCCACCGCTGCTTCTGGTGCTTCTTGCCGCCGTCTTCGATGGGGATGCCCTGTAGGCCGCATCGTTCGTACGTCGGACGCGTGAGCTCCATGCGCAGAGTGCCTTCGTATAGTTCGAACCGGTCGTCAATGAGCTGCCGGCCTTCGCTGAGCATCATGATGCTCCCCTGCTTGATGTACGTGTCTAGGAATTCCGTCTCGAGGATTTCTCCAAGCTTCATGTGAACCCGAGCATACTGCGTTCTAGCGGGGCCATCGGTGCGACCCAGCTCATTTTTAACGAGCTCGTATATTTCTTCGGGGAGGATGAGGTCTACGGTATGGCTGTATTTCTGCTTGTTGAAGGCGGAGAAGGGCTTCTTTTTCGTTGAGACATTTTGCGGGTCGATGTAAGATGGGAGGACGCTGTGGGAAAAGTATATTTTCATGTCAGGCGCAGCATCGGCACGACGTAGATCGAGCATCTTGCGCGATGTATGACGAGAGCAGGTGTGGGTTCGGCGCAGGTGCGACTGGCAGTCGGTTGGAGTCGCGCGAAGAATGCGGACCGAACTTTTGTCGCGTGGGCTTTCGGCAAGGGAACGCGTTGTTCAGCCCTATGACGCATACCCCAACGCGCTAACATGTGAACTCCATTCTGCGGTCCTGCACACGCCGTATGCAAACCTCTTTACAAGTCATTCTTTAATATCTACCGGAGAAGCAGCAGTGTATGTTTTGACGGAATACAGCTATATGCGTGAACCCGATGTACCCAGCACCGCCCTATTAGACCCTTCACTTGGTCACAATGCAGAATCAACAAAGAAATGGAAACGTAACCAGGAACACTGACGAACCCGAACTGAAAATCAAAAATCAAGATCGAATTGGGCGCTTCTTGGAGCGTTTCTTCGCGGTCAAGCGAACTGCGGCCTTTTGAGCTGGCCGTGGCTTGCCAATGTGATGCTCTGGTCTGAATCTGGTGATGGCACAGAGAGAGCACGGCTTACCGAACTGCTCCTTACGAGCATTGTGAAATTCTCGAGTACGGTAAAGTTGCAGGGCCAGCTCTTCCACATCGACACGTAAGACCCACACTGAACCATGGTTGCCTCTGATGTCTCGAGAGGAGAGAACAGTAGCAGTGGAGATGTGGTATTGCATCTGTACTTCGTCTACTGTCTGATGTTCTTCGTCAGCTCATGTGTTTAGACAGCAGAGACTAAGAATGAATGTTACTCACCAAGGTCTGACGATAGAAGCACCCTTCACAAGCCGTGATGACACCTTTGACCAGTGCAAAGGGATAATCGTCTAACACTGCGGAGCAGTAGATACACCTACGCGGAGCACGCTGCAGCCACAGTCTTCGATATACGATATGACTCAGATCTGGGTAGACAATGCCATACATGTCCAGCTGGGCGAAGGGTAGATTGAACATGTTGCATTGCCGCACAAGATGTGAGCAGTAGCCTTCGACCAACTCATTGCACCGCCTGGACGTGAGCGAGAGAGAATTGAAAGGATGTGAGAGTAAGTGCAGTGAAAAAATGTCGGCAGCCCAACGATGGCTGTCCGCTGTCTGGGTAAGATCTTCTTGATTCTTGATGCTCCGCTTCTGTTGTTCCGAAACGTCGTATCGGCTCTGAGCCTCGGTGAGACCTGGCAAGCGGCAGCGAGGGTAGATGAGATAAGACAGTATCTGATCAGCTATCTCGACGGGAAGGGATTCTAGCTTGCTCAGTGAAGGTGTGGCGTTACTAGGATGGCCCGGATTGGGTAAAGAGGGAACCCCGCGGTGACGACTTTTAGGCGAGGCTAGAATGGAAGGTGGTTGTACAAGCTTGTCATGTCTGTCAACCAGCATCCGGCTGGTGGTGAGAAGCAAAGAAGGGACCAGCCCGGTGGCGAGGGTAGTAGTTGAAGCCATGAAGAGTCAAGAAAGGAGCGACAGAAGGAGAAGAAATAGAGACTTGACCTTGATTATATGACAGGCATAGAGCCTTTTACAGGATGTTGAGCGAAAAAGCGACAGGTAGCAGGCGTGCAGGACAATGGAGGATGCGACCCAGGATTGGCTCGACGTGCCGAAAGGTGCATTATTGCTGCTGTGATTTGTCTGTTGGAGTCGAGTCCCGGGTGGCTGCGTCGCGGTATGCAGCTCGTGCATATTCTGTCGATACTGCATACTGTTATATGCTGAGATTGGCGAAGCAGACAACGACAACTCGCTGCGCAGCCATGGATGTCAACCACCGAGGTAGTCCGGGGGGATATGGGACTGGCAAACTAGGTGCGGCCATCTCCGCCCGGCCCAAAGGAGCCTAGTGCCGTGTGTCTCCAACTTACCCGTCGGACCACCTTTCGCTTCCACTCTCCACTTGTAACACTGGTTGACAGCGAGTGCACGCGGGAGACAACACCATGGCTGCCCATCCCTCAGAGGGACCCGTCGTCGCCCAGCAACCCTGCCCGCCGCCCACGGCGGGCATCAAGGCGGAACCAGCAGCGGGAGGCACGACCAAATCCAGAGACGAGGACGCGCCTGCGCCTGCGCCTGCGCCCGACCAAGATGACGAAGACGGCGGCGCGTGGGACCAGGCCTCCCTGTACGAGGAGATTCTAGACGAAGTGGAAGCCTTTGAGTACTCGGACGATGGTGAGTCGGGCCTAGGAGGCGCCTTCCGCCACAACCACCATTGACACCCGCATAGGCGTAGACACGTGCACCGCCGACGAGGCTCGCCGCTTGCGCCAGCGACTGCACCAGATTGGCGCGAGCGCATTCGTCATGGAGAACATCACCAGCGAGAAGATGACGGCGCGCAAGCTGTGTACCGCCTTTGGCGTCAAGATCCCCAAGTTCCTCCAAGATGCGCCCGACGAAAACTTCTACCAGCTGCTGGGCCTGGCCATCAACCGCGAACTGAACAAGCGCCCGCGGCTGGCCCAGTACAAGACGATTGACGACGCGGCCAAGTTGCTGCGCGAACGCACAAACATCATGGTCATCACCGGCGCCGGCATATCCACGAGCCTCGGCATCCCCGACTTCCGCTCCAAGAACACGGGCTTCTACTCGCGACTGCGCGAGATGGGCTTCGACGAGCCCGAGGAGGTCTTTGACATCCACAACTTCGACGAGAACCCAAAAACCTTCTACGCCCTGGCCGGCGACATCATACCCGATCTCGAGAAATGGACGCCCACGCACGAGTTCATCCGCCTGCTGCAGGACAAGGAGAAGCTGCTCACCAACTACACTCAAAACATTGACAACGTCGAGGCACATGCCGGCATACGCAAGGAGAAGCTTATCCAATGTCACGGCTCCTGGGCGACTGCCACGTGCAGAAAATGCAAATTCAAGGTGCCAGGCGAGGACATCTTCGATTGTGTGCGCGCGCAGAAGCCCGCCGAGTGCAAACGCTGCAAGGACGAGATTGCTGCGCAGCCAAGCAAGAAGCGCAAGCGGACGTCCAATGGCAACGGGGCCAGGAAGAAGCGGTCGAGCGATGAAGACTCCGAGTCAGACGGCGCCTTCGACATCCCGCAGCCAGGCATCATGAAGCCCGACATCACCTTCTTCGGCGAAGCCCTACCCAACGACTTCTTCGATCGATTGAAAGACGTCGATAAAGACAAGGTGGATCTCGTCATCGTAATGGGTACGAGCATGAAAGTGGCACCCGTTTCCGAAATTCCAAACTTCCTACCCCGCGACATACCACAAATCTACATCTCGCGAGATCCCATCCACCACATCAACTTTGACATCAACCTTCTGGGCGATTGCGATGTCATCGTGGCCGAATTGGCACGCAGGGCGGGCTGGAGTCTAGAACACAAGATGATACCCGATGGCCAGACCACCGAGGTGGCCATTACCGACGAACAAGATCACATCTCTACTGTCAAGCTTCATGTACCTGTCATGACTACGACCAACGGTCACATCAACGAGCAGCCATGAGCACGACGGATGATACGGCGTTTGAGCACACATACATATACATGGCGTTGTAAGGAAATTCACAAACGGTGTTTATACTGGCATGGACGACCACTCCGTGGTGGCTTGAGGTTCACAAAATGGGAGTTTCACATAGGGCGTTGTGGTACGGGTAGCTGGAAGAAACAAAGTGGCGGCATCAGAGATACCATGGACGGAACAGATTCGATGGGGAAGCATAAGCTGCAGTTTCCTTGAGTCTATGCGTGTTTTTCAAAATGGCATATTAGATTCCCTTTTAGAGCATTCAATCCAGTAACATTCCAAGATACTGAAAAAACTTGCTTATCACGTCGTGAAGGAATGTAAGAACGTCTTAGTTAGAAGCTGGAGATCTACTAGTACAAGAGAGAGAGAAAAAATCGTTCACATCGTCGTCATGGTCAGCGTCATTGCTATCCCCGTCCTGCCATCTGTTCAGTTCTCCTCAGAATCGTCAAACCATTTCCACAATCCCTCATTGAACCTCTTCACACCTTTGAACGCGTCTGGGCCATTACACCCCTTTATCCTCGTAAGCAAATCAAATATCACCATGAGATCCTCATTAAACCTATGCCCAGCACCAATTCCTTTCCCCTCTTCCAACATTCCGTCATTCTTCAATTCCACAAAAGCTAAGATAGCCCTCGCATGTGGAACATTATTCATACCTCGCAGAAACTCTTCCCACTGCTGACCTGGCGGACCGAAGTAGCCCGTTGCGCTGCGGAAAGAGCTTAAGCGGTGACGCATACCCATCCAACGCTCCAGTGTGTGGCCCAAGCGAATTGCACTGTTGCTGTGATTGGCATGCCATATCTCTGCCTCAGTGCACTGGAGATGGTTGAGTAGGAAGTTCATGCGTTCTTCGGTGGCGAAGTTGTAGCTAGTGGAGTCAAACTCATTGATGCCGTTAAGGTAGGAAATGAGAAGTCGGATAAGCTCAAGGCGGTAAATGCGGTTTTGCCCGGTTTCATGTGAGGACTCGGAGATGAGAGAGCGTATGATCGCGTCATTGTATGCATCGCTGGATGTGTCGTCGTCCTGACCAGGTTGGCCATCATGTTCTCTCGTGTCTTTCTGTGTCTGCGTATCATTTGGAATGACAGAGTCCTGCCTGAGGGGGTTCAGATAGGTACCCGATGGGCCAGCGGCGTTCTCGTCTTCATATTCGTACTGCATCTCGTCCTGACAGGCCATAGCGATGACATTCTGTAGGCAAAAGTCTGGTGTCTAGGTTAGCTGAATGCTTGGTCCTTTCCCAGGTCACTGGACCTACCGACTTCTCTAGTGTGTATTTCTTCGTCACCGACTATGGTTTCGGTGTCCGCCGTGACTCCTCGAGGCATATAAGTCGCATCTGTATCTTGTGTGGTCTCTCTTCGTCTCTCCAATGACGAGTTTACTGGATTCGAAAACGCCGGAGGGGTGTCAGGGATCGAGTAGGTATCCCGTTGTCGTGCAAGTACTGGAACCATCCGAGCGCTCTTTGACGGCCTTGGAAGCTTCCCCAAAGGCGCCCGTTCGTGGGAATCATGCGCTTTCCTCTTGCTTGGTGTCGTGTTGCTGTTGTTGCCTCTCACATGCGTCGCGGAACTCAGAGAAGTGCCTGAAGTTTTATCCGCCTCTCTGCGCGATCCAGACGTGGGGTACATGCGCGGCGGCTCCGGTGCCCGGAACGAGATGCCTGGAGTAACAGGACTATCGGGCTCAGAGAGATCGATAATGACATGATTGCGATGGTCTTCGGTTAGACCTGACTCTCGGCAACGACCTTTTCCTTTTGCTCTCCGTGGAGCTACGACAATGCATATGATCCAGCAGCGGAAGTAAAAGAGAATGCTGCAATTAGGTCAACAAAGTCGCTCGCGGCAATGAAACCGGTAACTTACTTCGTGCGATCTGAGATGTCATCCCAGTCATGTTCTTCAATTCCCTTTCCTTGAGATTGACCTGACGAACGTATCTCGCCGTCCTCTATGCGACCCCATATTTTTTCTCCGTACTCCTCTCCGAGCCTGGAAACGTCATCGGAGAAGACACACTCATCCGCCAGGTAGGACTTCAACTCCGCCAGTTTGCCACGATAGGAAATAGCGACTGGCTTTGCTATCTGCTCAATCTCTTCTTGCAGCTCGTTGGCTTCTTTCTTGACAAAATACCCTTTCTGTGAATCATCACTCTTCTCACTAGTCAAACCAAGTGACTCCCAAACATCCATTGCTCCTTTGCGCTTATCGATGCAAGCATCAACGAACGCTGCACGGTCGTCTTGAGAGTTGAGTAAAGGTGACATCATGAATTACATTGAAATGAAAACGACGTGCCAGAAACTGGCTAGAGTGGCAAATATATTGAAGAGTTGTTATCGATGCTCTGGTGGAGGCTGCGCGAAACGGGCTGTCGCAAATGGCTGAGGCACTGAGGGACCACCCGCGCATAAACGAAGTTGTGGCGTAGACGATATCCAAGAGCTGAGCAAATTCATGCGATATGTTCACAAATGTCTCGAAAAGGATACTGATATGCGATGCCCAGTCGCTTGTTTGAACAGGGTACATATTTCAACGGGTTGTGTTGCTGCCTACATCCGACTTTGTAGGCTGTGCGGGTGGCGAAGCTCGCAGTGTCACAAATCGAATCCCACGTCCCAAATCCCAGATCCCAAGTTCCGGATCTTGTTTTCAGTTTCTGTGGAATTGATGTTCAATAAATCGAGTGCCATAAGAGTGAACTGACGACGGATTATCTTAGTTAATTTTATTACTAGGACAACGCCTGGCTCACTTCATCGGAGTTCGTGTTGGGCCTAGGAAAGTACGTGGGTGATGTTGATGTTTGCCAGTAGCAGACGTGCCATACGCGCTATGGGTCTGAAGCTTTACCGCCGTGGCTTCGTTTGAGGCAAGCGATAGGCCAAACGTCTTAACAGCCCACCATAACCACCACCATCATTCCCGAAAGTTTTGTCGTTTTGTTCAGCCGGATGATGGCTTCGCTTGAGCCTGCAGCTGATCGACAAGACGGTTCGTTTCGATACCGATAGTATCCAGGTACTTGGGTGAGAAGGAATTCGGGAGATACGGGCCCTGCGCAGTCGCGCCTTAGGGTTACAAGTCAGACACTTGGATCGGAGCATCTTCGGCGTGATGCGAGTAGCTCATGGGATGCTTCCGCTGCGGCGTTGTGCATCTTCTTCAACCAGAGTCTGAAGGAGCCTTACAGTCGTTCCTGTATTATATCCGGTTTGACGCTCGACCTCGTTCAGTATGTTCCAGATTCTTGCCTTCCTAGATATGCCGTGAATATGCTTCGCAGCTGTAGAGAGAGTTAGAGTGAGTTTGTGAGAGTGGAAAGATGCTCGTCAACATACCATAGAACAAACCATGCGTAGAGAACACCATCAACGCTGGAGGGAAATCCGATATGGCTATGTCAGTAATTCTCATAGCCTGCTCTTGGATTAGAGGTATATAGGCTTCATCCTGAAGCTCTGGCTCCGCGTAGAGCAGAATATGTGTTATATGATACCCTGGATATGTCAGAACGCATCGAATATCCCAAACACGCATGTACGCACAAAAGGCTGCAGCGGCAGCGGCAGCAACAGGGAAGTACACTTTACGAAAGCCATCTGTGTCTTTGTCACCATATCCAATGCCCACAAAGGTATCGGAGAGACCCCTTCGCCACATTTCTATCTCATGCAAGAAGTTTTGGCGTTGTTCTTTACCAGCTGCTGATCGTCCGTCCGGTCCAAAGATGAGGTTGATTACTCTTGCTAGTATCCAGAGAACATGGTTGCCAAGCACATCTTCCCTAGTCTCGCCCTCAATCCAAGATACCTCCCACTCTGCAGGGTTTAGTATTAGTGGCTGTTCGCTTGCCATGGCTACTACAATCTCGTGCCGAACATAGATCCAGAAATTCGCAAGATCTGTCCCGCTCGACTGTGCAGTGACATGTCGCGACTTGATAAGTATCGTCAGGCCTAGAAAGTGACGGCGATAGTCTTCGGACCGCAAAGCTCCGTGAATTTCGTAGCTCAAGAGTAGCATGCTTGCGGTCAGCGCGTGTTCGTGCGATGGCACACTCAAGGCCTCTATCAGCAGACGCAACGATTCTCCATAATGCTTCCTAGCCGTGACTTGCCAAGAAGGGTCATGGCTCGAGTTTGAAAGCGCTAGGTAGTTTGCGGTAAAGGCGCACACGCAATGGAACAAGAGCGGTGATGCCAGGACAAGCTGTGGAATCTTATGCTGGAAGGTGCTACTATGATCAAAGATGTCCATCCAGGTAGCTACGGTACGCACATAGGCTTGCAGTAGAAACGCGCTCTCCGGAGTCAAGCGTATCTTCTTCCGACCGTTCGTCTCGGTCGGTCCTGGTGGTGTAATTCCAGTCACGGGTATGTAATTCTGACCTAATAACGAGTCTCCCGGGAGGTCAAGATCATTCATACGTGTCCTGAAAACGTCAACGAGCAACGGCGCATCATTCATCGCGTCATTGTTTGGCTCGTCCTGTATTGCATCACTTTGCGAAGCAGCCCACGCCACCTCTTCGGATGGTTCGCAACCGAGATTCAGGCGTTCGCAGTTCCCGCATACAGGCTTCTTCTCGTCGCAGCGTGTATGGCGGCGTTTGCAGGTGGCGCTGGACCAAGGCAATCAGTCTGGAGTCGAGATTCTCACATTGATAACAACGTACCAACCTTGATGGAATCAGCATATTTGAGCATGACTCTACACAAGCTTAATGGTACACACCTGTTCTACTACGAGGTCCACCTCTCCGCTTCTTCTTTGGCCTTGTATCACTCATTTTTGGAGGAGGTTAGTTTGAAAAGACGCCTGTAAGGGAATTAGGGTGATGACCAGCACGATGTCAAAGTTTCATGGTCGGTGCATATGGCGCTAAGCCTCTGCAGTAGGACGCGTTGGGTTAGTCAATCTCCTGTGCGCTGCTACGAATTGGTGTCGCGCTGAGGCATCAGAGTGATGGGCCAAGGATAGCATTCATCTTCTTCCTCGAGGTTCTCGCAAGCGAAAACGCTCAATGAAAAAGTTCGCGTCGGCCAGAAGTAGTGCATGAATACTGGCGACACTGTGGCCTCGGGTGTGAGCAAGCTCAGGACCCAAAGTCTTGCTACAAAAATAAGAATAACCGGAAAGCCACCGTAGTGACATTATAGCGATTAAGCTATAAAGAACAGATACTACACTTTGATCTAAGCCAGAATGGCAAAGGAAGCTGGTGAGAAATTGAGGGACGTGGGAAAGCCGAGTTGATATACACGCAGCAGTTGGACCGTGCGACGCTACTTTAGCGCGCGAACGTGACTGTCGACTGCTGCCTGTTGCACTACTAGCTACTTCTTATCTTACCCACCTACCTAACGCGACAGCCAACCATATGTAAGCCTGCGCAAACTTAAGCATCAACGACGAGATTCATCCTCGTATGAACGGTCTCAGAGCAAACATCGAGCTAGAATTCTATCAACCAACCGCCATCAACGCTTCAGCGCAATTCATCATCTCACTCCTGTTTTCTAGTTTCCCACAATCCTTACTCAATCTGTACGTCAGAAGTAGAGCCCCCTTCGAGGATGAATATAGCAGACATGGCTGCAATCGAATCGCGTCGATCTTATCCTTATAGCACCGACTTGGCATGCTCTTTCCACAGCGGACGGAAGGAGTCTTCAAGCGGGCTGTCGCGTCGCTCAATCCTCTCCTTTGTTGTTTCGAATAGTCGAGGTAGACCAGTCTGCTCGAATGGTACTCCATCTCGCACCATAGCAGCTAAACCTTTGCTCGATAGCAGAATCTGCGGCATCCCATGGCCATTGAACCCAGCAATAATGAACTGGTGCGGTTTCTCCGGTACTGCACCAATATGGGGCATGAAGTCTGAGCTGTATCCCATGACTATGAAGAGTGTCAGTTGCGTAAGTGCGACAGGCTTATCAACTCACTACCAGTCCAAACCTTCTTCGTTTCGGCTTGCGTTTTCTCCCACCCACTGAAATAGCGCTGCATGTATCCATCAAAGTATGATGAGGCTTCATCAACAAGCTCATCATCGCGCACCGTGTTGAACCAGCGCTCGGGTTTATGCCAGAATCGCTGCCTCGCGCCTCCAACAATAATGCTTCCGTCGGTTCGGGGAATGAGATAGTCGTAATTTCGAGAATCAAAACGGATAGCGTATGTGTTATTGAGATGTGGCGTTTGTCGCTTCTGCGGACTGTCGATATGGCTGCACACGCCACGAATCGGCGTGATACTTCGTGCGTACTCCGGCAGTACTTGACTGGTGTAGCCATTGGTGGCGTGGACTACCTTCCTGGCTTTGATCGCACCGCGTGGTGTCTGAATTGTCCACCGGCCAGTCTCGTCTATGACATCGGACATAGAGGCCACCGGCGTGTTTGCTTGTACGTTCAACTTATAGCCCCGCTCAAGTAGCTTCGCTAATAGTTGATGCACCATCTTTCGCGGCCACACGTGCGCTGCGGTGAAGCTGAAGGCACAATGCGCACCCTTCACACCAGAAATCTTCGTAATTATGTTAGCAAATGTTTCAAATATCCCTACAGAGAGCAAGTATACGCACCCTTTCGGCATCTCTCTCAGGAATGTAAGCCACATCTCTCAAGTCAACTGTCTTCTCTCGCCTTAGCTTCTTCCACGCCTCAGTTGTTTGCCTCGCATGCTCAGCATCCAGATACACATCAATCGCTCTTGTGAGATGGAAGTCGCAGTCTAGCCCCTCAGTCTCAACGAGGTCTTTTACCGCAGACACGTTTGCCGCTTCGAATGAAGCCACCTCCGCCGCGGCACTCGTACCGTACATGGAAACATATTTCGAGACGTTGAAGTAGAGATCTGGCTTCACGTGCCCGCCGTTGCGACCTGTAGCCCCAGAGCAGATCTTACGAGCATCGAGAATCAGAACGGATGGTGATGCAATTGGAGAAGATGATGTAAGGATATGGTAAGCTGTAGCCTGGTAGAATATGGTTAGCACGTACAAGTATAGCATGGAGTCTGTGATGAACACTTACAACTCCAGCAAACCCCGCACCGATTATGACAATATCTGCTTCACTAGGGAGATCATCCGTGGTACGTAGATTATCGTTAGGATCAGATTGTGATATCCAAAATGATTGCACGGGGTTTGAGACGGGTGTACGGTCGGTTGCCATGTTGAGGTACCGATTCTATGCCGTCTTAACAGACTCGTTGTTAAACTTCTATGATACTAGCAGTCAGGGCGATGTTCTTTCCACACTACCATCTGGGATACTGTTGAAGAGTTGTGGTACGTTACTACTCTGACAGCGGCATAGCGGTACAGCGATACGTACGTATGCGCCTGACGAAGCACGGAGACGGCCGCGGCATAAACCGCGCGCACACCTTCCCCGCTTCCTGAGCGTCTCCAGCGTGTGGAATCTCCTACGGTCCTTCTTGGCTGCGTATGTCGATCCTTATCGACAAGAGTGGGATGTTGTCGATAGCGGACATGCTTTGCCGAAGTGTAGATCGACAAGGGGGTTTTCTCGCTTGTTTTCAATGATCATGCATGTCGGCGCCCATCCAGTACACAAAAACATCTAGTGGCGTTCTGGGCGAATCCTTCTGCTCCACGATCACTTGGCATGACTATGAGGTATTCGATATTGTGGTAGTAACGTAGTGGAGGTGCATATTCCCATATTACTATGCTTCGAACCAATACCAGCTTACCTTGAGTTGGCATTGCACGCAAATATAATCCCGCGTGCCATCTCAGTGAAAGAATCTGCCGTGACGTCCATTTCACCAAACAGATTATCGCAGCGAATCTTCTCCCAGATAGTGCAGTATGCAGCCTTGAATCTGTTGTTTGGTTAGCTGTGGTAGAACAGGCATCGATTTGATTGTGGAAACTTACCCATGGATTTTGGCAGCCGCTACATCCCAATTATGCGCAGCGGCAAACCATTTCTCATCGCTGCCCAGCTTTTCCATCATCATCTGATATACCTTCGGATCCGGTTTACCGATCCTGGCCGTGTCGCACGAGATGAAGTTCTCCTTAGGCATGGGTATACCATTGTGCGTGAAGTAGCCTCCGACGCGCTCCACATCTCCTGCTGTCAACGCCCAGACCGTGAACCCAGCATCCCTCAACATCTGGAAGCATTCTGCTACACCAGGTCGCGCTTCGAGCTTCTTGTACTGCTCCAGAATGTACTTCAGATCTTCGTCGCTAGCGAACACCTGAGGTTCTTCGATACCGGACATGTATAGCATACGATAGAACAGGCTGCTAAAGATGTCACGGAACCCAATATAACGGCCATTCATACTGAGGTAAGTATACTCTCTTTCGGTGACTTCGATCCACAGGTAGCCGAAGAGTCGTGGTTTAATGCCTTCGGCACGCATCTTGTCGCCCAAGCGGTGGTCAAGAGCATCGAAGATTGCATCATAGGAGACGCAGGTGCCAACAATGTCGAACACCACGTGCTTATTGGGTGTGGCCATTGCGACAGTGTTGCGTATTGAAGGTATTGGGCTTCCGATCGGGAGTTTGGAATTTCTCAAATTGGGTGATAGTAAGAGTTGATAATAGATCCTGCTCGCATGTCAACAATGCACCATCTGGGTAACTATAACGAAGCATCGGGGTGTGCTATAACGATATCGGAGCATACCTGTGCGAAGTTCTGGGCATGATAAACGCTGCTCCACTCAAAGCTTGGCCAGGTAGGGGCCTTGCCTTGGCGAAGTCTGCATCAACCCAGCATCACTGCGGGGACCGACTACTCACAATCCTGTCCAAGATTTCTGAGGTTGATAAGAACAGATAGGAACCGGGATGCTAGATTGACGACTATCTGGCTTAGCAGATATCGGATGATGATAAGCACGAAATGTTGGAGAGTGTCATGCGAACAGGCACCCGGGAGTGTGCAGCCGTCTACTTGCAAGTATATGTCTTGAACCCCATGCTTGTCTTGGTCGGCTGGATTCTCTGCTCATTTGTTATCCCCTCCAAACGACCTTTTACTCGTCTCCCCATATAGGCAATCATGACCATGATGTCCAAGGATGTGGAAGCACCAAGGATGACACTGAGAACCCCCTCTATACCAGACGACGAGAAGAGCAGCTCACAGATACAACATGGAGAGGTCGAAGATGCAGCGATCGTAGCTGCACTACAAGGCTATGTGCCAGGTACCGCGGAAGAGAAACGTTTGGTGCGAAAAATTGACTTCGTATTGCTTCCAATCCTGTGGTGGATGTACATCCTTGCGCATCTCGACAGGAGTAACATCGCCAACGCCAACGCGGCGGGTATGAGCGAGGATCTTGGCCTCTCTGATAACCGTAAGCGTCTGGATGCAGAATACTCAAAGTGTAAGCTGACAACATATAGAGTATGCAATGCTCGTATCACTCTTCTTTGTGGCATACGTCATCTTCGAGGTTCCTTCGAACATGATACTGATGAAGGTGAAGCCTTCGATCTATTTGTGTATGTGTGCTCGATGACATGGGATGTGCTAAGGCAGAACTAATGGATCTTAATTTAGCCACGATTGTGTGGGTTTGGGGATGCGTTGTTCTCGGGATGTCACAAACCAAAAGTGCGACAGGTTTGCTTATTGGACGCTTCTTCCTCGGAGCAATCGAGGCGGGGTTGTATCCAGGCGCGCTGTTTATCCTTACTTGCTGGTACACGAAGAAAGAAGTCGGTATGTATGCCATTATGTGGTCATGACATGGGTCATTGACTAAATCTCCAGGCAAGCGCTTTTGCATTTTTTACACGTCAGGCTGCGTGTCTCCCGCACTGGGTGGCATCATGGCAGGCGCGGTAATATCTAGCCTGGACGGCGCTCGTGGGATTCCGGGCTGGCGTTGGTTGCTCGTCATAGAGTCCGCGATTACGATTGTCTGTGGCTTCGGGTGTGAGTAGTCACCACGTCCATTACGTTGACGCTGCTGACTGCCTCCTCACATCAGTGTATTTTGTTCTTCCCAACTGGCCGATTGACTCCAAGATGTTGTCGCCGGAACAGCGCCTTCTTGCTCATGTCCGCATTCTCCGTGATCGGGACGAGTCGTGGGATACCGAAGAAAAGGCCCTTACGCCACTACAGGCGTTCCTCGCAGTGATCAGAGATGGCCGAACCTATCTTTTTCTGATCATCTATACGGCGAACTGTTTGGCGCTGACCGTGTCTTACTTCATTCCAACCATGCTCAGAGGAATGGGTTATACGAGCACTAGTGCCCAGTGGATGACGGTACCCATTTGGAGTTGCGGCGCGGTATTTCAGCTCTTTTGGTAAGTAGCTATCATGCAGAAACGAGCTAAAAGATACTGGCTAATCGCATATCCGCCGTATAGGTCATGGACTTCGGACAAGACACAAGACCGAAGATGGCACAATGCTGGCCTGCTTGGGTTTGCTGGAATCGCTGCACTAGTAGCTCTCCTCGTCAGCAATAATGCGGTCAAGTATGCTATGTTGTGTATCCAGACTGGCGCGATGTACACAACAATACCTCTGATTCTCAACTGGACCAGCGAAGTTCTGTCTCAGCCAACACGTAAGCGATCTATAGCTATCGCGTTGGTGAACTCATTTGGTCACACGAGCTACATTTACGGAAGCTTCCTGTGGCCCAGCGCCGAGGGGCCACGTAACCTGAAGGGATTTGCCGTATCGACTGCCGTCTTATGGCTTGGCCTATTAACGGCTGCATTGATGCCAGTGATCGCGAGTTACCTACCAAAGCCGCAGCCTGACATGACGCTGCATGGACAAGAGTTGTTTGTTGCTGGCGAGGAGAAGCTCGAGAAGCAGGACAAATGATCTTGTCGTACAAGAGCGAAGAGAATGTAGGAAGATGTATACGATGCAAGAATAACCGAGTGTCGCAAAAGTGAGGCCGCGATCGTGGAAGGGAGATTCGATGAGCCAGGGTCAGGTACGTACCGAGGTCCCGGCTTCTGCGCGATGTAGGTCCGCGCCCCAAACCGGTAAAGTCTGTTTTCTCCTGATCTAGACGTCTTTTCCTGCATTCTGCAGGCTTACTCAACGACCGTGAGCGTCGCGCTGTCGCAAAGCTCATATTTGAACCTTGCGGATAACATTGGCTTCATCTCATTATTGCATCTTGTGTTCAGACGTATCACTTATGAGGATCATCCCTATCACGCGCTGAATTGACACACCCTTCACGAGCGTCCGTACAACGCACGGCAATACCATTGAGAATTTTCTCCATCACCCTAATCTGCTTGCTTTTGTTTACGTTGGCTTGAATTTGTGACCCGAGACTACCCAGTGTAAACCTCTTGCGTTCATTGATTCAGGATTAGCTTTAGATAGAATTTGAAGCCCACTCAAAGCAGACTGTCTCTAACAGAGAGAGAGCTCTCTCCAAGGATCAAGAAATTTTGACTTCGTGGCTGCCATGACTAGAACATTGTTTACTCCACCAGTTCACACACCAAATTCCCCGTGAACATCAAAGCTGTAAATGCTCGCTTCATGAGGCAGCACGCGCTGCATCTTGCACAGCACTTCGGCCCAATAGAGTTAAGCGCATGTTGAGCACGAGTGCTGCCCTCCATGTGAAACACATTCTTCCGGTCGAATCCCCCAAAGATTGCCACGTCCCGTGTATCATCCTACGTTCAAGCGCAGACTGCATGACAATAGAGCTTTGCCGCGAACGATCATCACGCTACGGGCCCCCGTTGAGTTTGGGACTCACTCTCTACCCTGTTGTTGGGCATCAGTAATTTTGTGATCCTCAACAGCGCCCTCTCCGCACTCGGGATGCCATGCCAGATTCGTGTCTCTGAAATCGGAGGCGCTCTCGTTGGAGCTACGTGTCTTACGTTGCTGGTTGGGTCTATGAACACTGACGATCGCCCAGCAGTACAAGTACTTGGACGGTCGATGATTGCCTAAGCAGGGAATGCACAGTGAACGCACACGTACGCCACTGTACTTCATCTTGAAGTCTCGGGCCTTCTACATTACCAATGACTCCAGGATGGCTTACTATTGCCACTTACCTCGGCCACTCACTGCATACGCTTGCCCTTCTCGTCTGCCGACCCCAACAATCGTAGGGCTGACAAATACGAGCCGCCTACTTCCTGGAAGAGGCACACAGTCAGGTCGAAACAAACACATGCATTTGTAGCCTGGAAAGCCTTTTCTGCACAAACGCTGCCAAGAAGGCGCCTAAAACTTCGTTGACCAGATAGTGTGCTTGTAGAGATAAGCAACAATTTCGAATTTGCTTATACGATATACAGGGTCGAATCTGATACCATGCGCCTAGTAGCCTCAACTACCGAGACTCCCGTGTGTACAAAGTTTATAATAGGTCCGAACTTTGAGGCTCTGGTGCCCACGGGTATCAGGGTCCCCCAGCGTCGGGCTTATGGGTTCAACACGGGAACGCACATGGATCACCCATCTTGGCGAAGGATAGGACAACGGTGATACAAGACAGAAAACCTCAGTGAGATATATAATGTAGCTCGGGTAGTGTGGGTTTCTGCATTACTCATTGAAGACTACCTTTTCATTATCTATCATGTCAAATGACACCTTTTCAGGCGGCTTGTTGGCCGACTATTCCGCCGCTGCTCAAGGCGCAATAGCAAGCGACTATGTGCTACGCTGGAAGCTCGTCGGCGCTCTTTTTATCATGCTCGTTGTCTCTCAAGTCACTAAGATGATCTACCGCGCGCACATCGACCCTTTGCGAGCTATACCAGGGCCTTGGATCAGTTCAGCAACATCAGCCTGGATTCGCTGGCAGCGATGGCATGGCAGATTGTCCTTTGAGGCAGACAAGCTCATGACCAAATATGGGCCCATCGTTAGGATCGCTCCTAACCTTGTTATCCTTAACGATTCTGAGGCAGTGGAGAGGATCTTTGTAAGAAAAGACCTTGACACTTCGCCAAAATCCATCCGAGCCTTGCGCGTAGGCGGTCATGACTGGACCGTTACATACCCACAACACCCGATTGCTCGCCAGAGACGACATCCAGTCATGATCGCCACCACCACGAAGAACATGAAGCTCTGGCATGACGTCTTCGTGACCAACATCGAAGCCATGGTTCGCGATCTCGCAAAGTCAGACGGCGAAAAGTCCGAAGACATCGTATACCACCTGCGCATAGCCACTCTTAGGAACTCTCAAGTCGTCATGGGTGGCTCGGGAGTTGACCTTGACTGCAGCGACTTTCCTCATGTTGTCGGCGAATACAACTTCCTTGTCGTCTGGCGTCTCTGCCTTCCAGAGTGGTTGTTCGCATGGCTTCAATACGGTCCTTTCGCGCATCCAAGGTTCCGGGTACGATCTAGTGACAAGCTATTCGACCTGGGCGCAGCGCTGTGTAAACAAGCCGCTGAAGTGAGCGAAGAGCCAACTGACAACGTATACAAGCTATTCACTGCACCAGACGCCAAGTACCCCGTCGAGCAATCGTGGACAGATCCAGAAATTGGTGCAGAGATGGCGGGACAGGTACTCGCTGCCACTGAAACGACTTCATCAGCTCTCGCTTTCATATACTACGAGGTAGCGAAGAACCCAAGCCTTCAGGAAGAGCTATACAAGGAGGTAGCTGCTCATGAGGGTTATGAAGAGCTTGATTCGTTGAAACTCCTCGATGCATGTATCAAAGAGGGTCTGCGCTTCCGCCCACCTGTCGCTCTCACAGGTTCACGCCTCGTCCCCGCTGGAGGTATCAACGTCCTTGATTATCACCTCCCTGCCGGTACTGTTGTAACTACACAATCCCTTAGCATGTCTCGTCAGCGCCCCGATCTCTTCCCCGACTTCGATACCTACAACCCGCGACGCTGGCTCGTCGAGGACGAATATAGCGCCGAGCGTCGGAAGATGCTTGTGCCTTTCGGTGTAGGAGCGAGGCGCTGCCCAGGAGGAAATATGGCGACCTATCAGATGAGACTCATCTTGGCGGCGACATTCAGAGCGTTCAGAATTGAACTTGCACCTGAGACAACACCAGAGAAGATGGCGCCGTTCGAGGCAAACGGATACCGAAGTAGGCATGATCGATGTGATCTGATGTTCAAGCCTAGGACTGCGTGATGATTTTGGTGTAAACATCGATCGTCCATTGTCTTGATGATCGTCCTTATGATACTTGTGTTACTCGAGCGAAGATTTCCAGATGTGTGGGTGGCTTCTGGCGCTCATAAGCAAGTATGCATAGTTTTCCTTCTGCGTTCATTTGGAGTTCTTAGATAGGTAGCGTCAAGATTACTCGTCATCAATCCTCATGAGCTGTCTCGGAGCACAACTGAAGACCCATGTCTATAATCGAACAGGTCGTTTATATTCTATATCGGATGGTATTATACCCGCGATAACTTGGGCGAGTAGCATGTTGTGAGGTGGCTGGCGACCAGATGACAAGCTTCCTGAGATGTATCAGGGATGACGCGTACCTACTGACGTCATCATCCCACCTGTACCTTTGAACCTAGGCAGTTTGAAACCACCACATATTCACGCTACACGTGGACATGGCGAAGTCGAGACAGGACACAAACAAGGAACCTTTCTTGCTGCTCGTGCATTGCCTGGGCATACGCTTGCGGCTGCGAATCCGCCTGGTGGAATCCCAGAAAGCGGGGAGACGTGGCTGCGGTCTGCGGCGCTTCCGATAGGGTCTCAAGTCGCATCTTGACGCATCCATCGAATCGATCTAGAAACCTCACATATCTTTCCGAATTGGAGATCGGCCAGGCCCACGTACATCGCATACGCAGCTGCACTGGTACCTAGACAGCACATTCACAGCCGCAACCGCTCTGTACCCGTCCGGGTCCTTATCTACAAACGCCACAACCGTAGTATCCCGCATCATCGTGCGTGTGATCTGCAAGTGCAATGTTTCAGACGCACCATATGCATCACCTGGAGCTTAACGAAAGCTTGATAAAGCTTGGAAAGCTTGGTCGCATGCTTGCAAGCCCATGACCACTACTGCGACATTCCGGCCGATGTGCCCGCCGGTTCCTGGTCGAGAGCTAATGATTGGAGCGCTTGGAGTTGGGCAGGTAGGTTTGCTGCTTCGAGGTGGGTGTGATGCATGCGTTGGTGGAAAGCACGAAGGTATATATGCCGCCTCATCGTCACTTCAAGCAGAATAATTTCTCATTTCCAATTCTCCATTACGCCAGTGCTACAACACAAATCTGCTGAATTAAATCTACACTACCGTCGACTGAGCAACCTAGTAACATCATGGCATCTCTACAGCGTCTCGCTGTTCAGCGTAGCCCTGCCTACAAGCCCGCTGGGGTTAAGAGCTATGTTTACGCGATGACAAAGTGTACGTGACCTGTTACATTCTCTCTCTCAAGTTCTGAACTGACATGCGCAGATGGCTTCCATCCGACCAAGCCAGGCCCATATTTCCAAGCCAAGGTCATATCACAGCAAGGCAAGTTTGGACGAGTTGGCGGCCGCATGCGATCACACTACGTCTTAAGAAAGCGAGAGCAAACATCCGCACCGGGCGGTGCGCAGAGCAAGGCCGCAGCCCCAAGCGATGGAGGTGGAACTGAGGGCGAAGTGCCCGCTGAAGACATCCAGAACGACTCCTTATATCTCTGCGAAGTCGGTGTAGGAACACCTGAACAGAAGTTGTACTTGGATTTCGATACAGGATCTTCGGATCTTTGGGTATGTGAGCCCATCTAAGTTCTCGTGGTATATGCTAAGACGTACAGGTCTGGTCCACTGAGCTTCCCAAGAGCATCCTCAGTTCTGCCAATCCCTCGAACCAGCAGGTCGCTTTCGACCCTTCCAAGTCAAGCACATTCAAGAAGCTCGATGGCGAGACCTGGAAGATCTCGTATGGCGACTCTTCATCAGCAAGCGGTGATGTAGGCACCGATGTTGTGGATCTGGGTGGCCTCAAGGTTGAGAACCAGGCTGTAGAGCTCGCAAAGGAGCTTTCGCAGCAGTTCGCACAGGGAAATGGTAGTGGACTGCTCGGATTGGCGTTTAGCTCCATCAACACTGTTTCTCCAACTCCGCAAAAGACGCCAGTCGACAACATCATCGCACAGAAGACGGCCAAGGAGCAGCTCTTCACGGCATACCTTGGCAGCTGGCGTGATGCGAACGAAGCTGATAAGGGAGAGGTAAGTTCCATTCTTCACATATTTGCGTTCGTCGTTTAACATGCCTACAGAGCTTCTACACCTTCGGCTTCATAGACCAAGACGTCATGACCGCCTCTGGAGCCTCCGAGCCCAACTACGCTGATGTTGACAACAGCCAAGGCTTCTGGCAGATCCAGTCTACATCAGCCACCATCAATGGCGAGACTGTCAACCGATCCGGTAACACTTCCATCATGGACACTGGTACAACGCTCTGCTTGGTTGACGACGCTCTTGTGGATGCTGTCTACAAAGCTATTCCTGGCGCTCAGTACGACCAGAACAACCAAGGCTATGTCTTCCCTGCCTCTACATCCGCGGACGATTTGCCAGAGATTAAGCTCGCCATTGGAGACTCCATGGTGACATTCCAGAAAGAAGATCTGGGCTTCGCCGATGCCGGAAACGGCAACGTGTACGGAAGTATTCAGAGCAGAGGATCCATGGACATGGATATCTACGGTGATGCCGTATTGAAAGCCATGTATGCGGTAAGTGATCATGAATTTACTTAAATCAGTGAAGGTGTACTGACTAGGCTTCCAGATCTTTGATATGAACAACGGTTCGCCGAGGTTCGGATGGGTGCAGAGAAAGGAGGCAACACAAAACACGACTGCTCCCCCATCGCAGTAGATATTGACGTGCACTTGCCAAAGAAGAAGACTGTGTGCAGGGCAGGAGGTAGTACTGTCGCCCTTTGGTGTCCAGAGTTATGTGAATGTTCGCAATAGGTTTTCATGCAACAGATGCTACGCTCCTGTGAACAATAGTATCTTAAGACGCATTTGATGAAGTTTCTTTCGATGCCATGAGTTTCCCCACATCTCTCAAATCAGGTACAACATCTGCATCTTTGTCGTGAGTGTTTTCCACCCTCTGCATCCACTTTCTGCAAAACGTCTGTAGATCCATCTGCGCATCGCTCTGCATCGAGACTCGGTCTTGCAATCGCTCGCAATCGTCCTCCAGGTGACTGCGACTCATGGATGATAGTCTAATGCCCATCTCCACAGGCCTGCGCCACGGTGGACTCCCGATAGTGAAGGAACTCCAACGTAGGCGCGCCAACTTTTGCCTACATTTTTGCCGAAGGTAAACGGGTTCGTCTGTTTGGTGGAGAAGGTGCCGAAGGTGTCGAAAAGAAGGCACTGATGAAGCGATGCAACCGACTCCTATTTCGACGTTCGAACAAAGTATTATATGGACAGCCCAAACTAACCATCACATTAGCACTCGTGAACAAGATGACTTCAAGGTCTATAGTGTCAAAGCGCACACGGTATATCTTTGCCATCCTCATATTTGTTGATATAAGGAATCCGAACAACTGTGATGATAGACGCCCTTGGTGAGGTCAGCAATCGGCAGCAGGGCAAAATGGTTGCTATTGATTAGATCGATTGACTTACACGGAGGCAAACGATAGCAATCCTAGAGCCTGCAACTTCCGTTTCCTTTTCATATGCGTATCCCACAGGATGATGGCTGGCACAACCACAAGTCCAAAATCCGTTACGATTGTCGAAACAGTAGCAACATGGCCGAGAATGACAAAAGTAGATATCGGTGCGCATTCTCCTTGCCGAGTCCATGTCGCACTGACTGGACGACAGTATAGCAGGACGCCGACGAAGGTTATAAAGAAGGACGCCCATGTCGTAGCTAGTAGCGCATATATGGCGGTGCGCAGCCTGGGCTGTGTCGCCGTGACGTAGAAAATCGTCGTGCAGATCGAGGACTTGACTGTCGCGAGCGCGGTCACATACATGAGGATCCAGATGATGTAGTACTTTATCGCCTCGCTTGAGTGCCATGCATCGAGATGCTTGTCGCGTCTTCCAATACCCACCAGGAGGGCTCTTATTGTCAAAGAGATAGCCACAGTGTAGAATACCTGGCACCTGGAATGAGCAGATACTCGCAAGGGATATGCTCCTGTTCCACCTCCTGTCTAAGAAGTAACTTACAGCACCAGCAATCATGAAGCCATCATCCAACCTGAAAAGGTTTCTTGAAAGCCTTACATAGGTTCTTAGAGAGATGGCAATCAGGGATAGCCCAAGGAAGGTACATGATATCACCATGATGGTGGTTGTTAAACCATCGAGTCGCGAATATTCCCCTTCCAGGTCAGCTTCCGCAGACACGAATGGCGACAACATTGGGTAGGTAGACTCATGTCCACCATGAGAAGGAAGTTACTGGTTAACATATTGGCGCTGAAGAAGCTGGCTCCGATCCCAGGATATTAGGTTTACCAGCACTCGGCGGCTCCGCTTCTACTTGCTAGCTTGATTCGGTGACTCGGCTCGAACATGAAGTTAATATCGCATCAACTATACCAAACTCGGAGAATTCTGATCAGATCAAAACTTCGACGTTGGGTTTCTTCGGTTACTCTTGCTGCACAGACATGTCAGGCTGCCATCTAATCCATACATTTGGAAAGTAAAGCGCGCGACGTCAATTGTGGCGACAGACTAAAGCACTGCTATTCGTGGTGATCCACTAAACTGATTCTAAGGTCTTCGATCTCCCAGGATGCTACCGCATCAGACGATCGTTACTCTTACACCTCTATTCGCCTTCGTCATGGGCACGAACATGTCGTGATCGTATGTTACGTCCTCCTCAGTAGTATCTGACAACCGCATCTGCGGTAGAACACGCAGCACCAACGCAGCCAGACACAAATTAAGCTCACATAGAGCCAAACTGCGAGATCAATGTTAGAAACCACCTGCCAGATCCGCATAGATGTGTTGCACTTACTTCATTCCCAAACAAGATCGACTTCCCTTCGAAAATGTCAACATGCTACGCTCAGCTTCTTTTCTCCTGTTGTTGTTCTCATTTAGCCATCGCTCAGGAGCAAAGGCGTAGGAATCGGGAAAAGCGCGTTCGTTATGGTGTGTGACGTAAGCTGACATGCCGATGGCATAGCCTTTGGGAAGTACATATTGGATGGTCTTCTTGTTCCATTCTCCACGGTAGAGTAGGTTTTCTTCAGTGGGCACACGCGCAGTACGGCTAGAAACGCCATAGGACAGTCTCAAGCCCTCCTGAATGACGGCTCCAAGATAAGGCAGCGTTTCCAATACAGGCCATGATAGATGTCTCGGGTCATCCACAACAGTTTTCAGCTCTGCGGTGAGCTTAGCAAGAATCTCCGGCTTTGTTAGTAGATGATAAGTCATGACCGCCAACGCCCAACTTGTAGTTTCCGTTCCAGCACCCAGAACAGCCTGCGCTTCTTCGGACAAACGCTGGGGTTCCTTGTCCAGAATCTCGAGATCGGATTGCAAAAGACTCGCGAAGATAGTCGGTCGATCATACGTAATTCCGGCATCCATGTCCTCCTTGGTCTTGCGTACTCTGGCTGGCAGATCAATCTGCAATGTCTTGACCATGAGTGCAATATCCTTGGGCAAGTAATCGACGAAAGTTGCTGCCAACTTTGTAGTAGATTTCGTCCAAGGGAAAAAGCGGAACACGAAGACAGGACGCAAGATCGAGGCAGTTGGTTCTCTGAAATTGGGGAACCAGCCTGGTTGGTCGAGGAACCCAAAGCTCTCACCGAAGCTGTATTTGGATATGGCGTCGGCGGTAAAGCAGCTGTATGCCATGGTGACGTCGAATGGCTTGTTATCACCCGATTGTCGGAGAAGCTTATCACAGAGCTTCTGGACGTCAGAATGAAGATCGGGTTCGAGTCGCGTTATCATTGTGCGGGAGAAGAACTTTGCTAGGGGGATACGGCGGAGGCGGTGGATATTGTGGTCTACGGTTCCAAAACCGGATTCTCCAAGACTGTGCAATTGTCAACTGGAATTCATGGACGAAAGATATACGAGAGACTTGCGCTGACCCATTGATCTGGTGTACAGGCTTGTCGCGCTTCCGGCCACCGACGGCGTAGATTTCGTCGGCGAAGCTGATGTCGTCGCAGTGGACCTCGTTGGGGTTGATGCGGATAATGGGTCCTGGACGCGACATCAGCTTCTATACAATCGCGCAATGTCTGCTTGTCTACTCACCGTACACCTTGTGCATGCGCGCGATCTCCTTTGTATAGCAGCCGAACCTAATGACATCGTGGTAGAATTCAGGCAGGTACGTCGCTGCCGCTAGTTTTGGCCCAGGGATTCCGCTCAACGGATGGAATGGCGAGACGTTGTAGATGGCCTCGAGAATCTTGTATGCGAGCCAGATACCCGCAAGACCTAGCACATAGCCCACTGGAGGAAACCATGATGCCGACTGCGAATGGACACTTTCTGAATCCATTTTGGAGAACAATGCAAGAAAGAAACCTCTGTTGTCGCGCGAGAAGGCATTGCATTTACACTATTTTCTATTCGCACAAAGAGACGACGCTATCGTGTCAAGTTGCAGGGGGGCCTGAAGCATGTCTGCGGCAGAAAATGCGTATCTAAGTGGGGTGAGGTCACTGGGCAAAGTGGAAACACGGTCAATAGACGTTAGACGTTGCGGTTGTTGCGGTTATTCGGGAGCGAGCGAGTACCGTGCAAATACCGACATGTGATCGAGTGGTAAGGCGGAACGCCATCACGCAAAAGGTTGGTGTAGACGTTGGAAATGAGGGTCCAGACTTGTGCGTGCGGAGTGGGGGCCGGTTTCGAGTCATGTGAGCTAGGGTTTCCGATCTGGACTTAGTCGCCCTCGAATGGACGCTGAAAGACCGGTGTGGCTATTTTCATCTCACGTTTGATATTTGAAGGGCTGTTGAGTAGCGAGCAATCGCAGTTGATGCAAGGGTGTGCCAGAAGAAAAACAGTTTGTTGTCATTCATCATGCTCGTGCGCAAGGCTTGCAAGATCCCGTGTGTCTCATGCCATGTTGACCTCGTACGTGTCATCTGGTTTTACATGTTCTAGTCCATCAATTCTCTCTATCCTGTCTTCAAGACGACCTTGGTCGAGGTGTGACCATCTTTCCTCTCGCCGCAAGCGCAAGCCAGCCTGCAATAAGGCAGGCCCCGCCAATGGGCGTAACAGGCCCCAAAGACTTGTACTTCTTGGCATCCAGCACAAGTAGATATATGCTTCCAGAGAACATGGTCATGCCCGCAGTGAAGAGTGCCATTGCGATTGTGTTTCCCGGCGCGACGACGGAGGTCATGGTCAGGACGACGGAGTGAACGAGCTGTTGGCGTCGTTAGTAGGGTCCATGGGCACAAAGGCGAGGAGGATGCGGTGTGCGAAGAGGGGCACGCGTTGGTGAAGCGGGGAGCATGTGTACCTGGTATTGAGCAGCGGTTCCCCAGTTCGCAATGAGCGCTGGATCCCTAATCCGTTGCTTCAGCCCATGCGCACCGAAAGCGCCGAGCGCAACGCTCGAAGCACCGAGCAGCGTGCCGATCGTCCAGAATGGCGACATGGAACTGTAGGTTGTGCCGTAGGATCTACTGCTACTATAGCCTGATTCGTAGATGGGATCGTGCGATCGGGATTTGCGGGATGACGAGGATGAAGATTTCTTGGATGAAGACATAACAGCAAGTGGGAGTTGTTTGAGTTGGAGGGAGGTGGGATGGCAAGTTTCACTCAACGAAAGCCGCGGTATGCGGAGTTTCGGAGGTGTGCGTTGTCTGATTGGTCTGTGCACACAAAGACGGGAAGTGGAGCGTGTGAAGGTTGTACATTTGTAGTGGTATCCTAGATGCTGAAGTTTGCATCCCCCTATATTCTGAACGCCATAACGCCCTTCTGATGCAGATGAGATGCCGCGTATCCCATGAAAAATGCGACCAGATTGACGCGCACAACGTCCTATCTTCCGACAACTAGTCTGAGTCAATTTCCATGACTTCTCCGTCTGCCTGTCTCTGCGGTGTCGCCTTCATTGCGCTTGTAGTAGCCTTCCTCTTCCCTTTCCCGCTCTTCTGTTGTGCCTGCTTTATCTCCTCTTCAGAGATCAGGGCTCCATCGACACGTAGGAAGCCCTTACCCTTGCCCTTTCCATCCATTCTGCCATCAACGTCCCGTATCCTTACGCGCAGTTCTCCTTCAACCTTTTCGCCATCTCCGTTCACCCACCAACCTCCTTCATCTGACAACCGTCCATCCCAGCCCTTCTTCATGTGACCAGCTTCTTCCGAATGCCACGACCAGTCCGAGGGCAAGCACTCTTTGAGTATACTAACGGGAAAGGTGTTGAGATGTGCGAGCGTGAGATGGGTCTTTGCCTGGTCCGTGATATGAGCGGTCAGGTAGGCATTTCGCGTTGGTCGCCACACAATGAACGAGGCAGTAACCCAAAAGAACGGCGCCGCGTATTCATCAACGTGTCTGAGTAGTAAAGGCTCCGCGGGCGCATCATCATCAGAACTTAACTCGCTTTGCTGTTGAGATTGTGACTTCTTGGTTTTCGATGTTGCGGCGGTTGGTGGTGTGCTGTTCAACTCAACATCTTCGTATGCAAGGACCACACCCTTCGCAGGTGGGAAGTATGTGAGGAGTAGCGGTGATAGTACGGTTGCGCACACTGCTGAGAAGGGATCTGCGAGACATGAAGGCGGGATGCAAACGTATTGCGATATACGCTCAGTGTGAAATAAGGAAGCATCGTCGCTCTGTACTGGTGCCATTTTCGGGAGAGCGTGAGTGAATCCTGGCGCGTAGTGTGGTTTGCGATCGCGTTGTCGCAGAAGTCCTGAGCTTGGAAAAAAGTTGGAGATGTCGGCGTGTGAAGTTACCGATATGTGGGGGTCGGCGCTAGGATAAATCCGACTAGCCACCACCAGCATTATGTATCAATGAAGAGTGAAGGTAGCATAGAATCTCAATTAAATACGCTTCGTGACAGCGTGCATATCTTCTGATATGTTTTCCGATCTATAGGCAAATCCAACGCCAAATTTTACTACACCAGATCAGGCATCATTTGCATGATGCTCATGCCGATGCTAATGTTAAGCTTGCCCAGGACCTTTGTTTTACATTTGATTTCATAGCGGAGCCGGAACCTCTCATCTTCTGGGCTTCTCTGCTTCCTTCCGCTGGAGCTTGGTAACCACCCGTTGCAGAGCTGTCTTGATTTCGCCCTTCTTGAACTGCGACAAGTCGTAGTAGTTTGGTGAGATGTCCTGGCTGAGGTTAGTGTCATAATTAGGTACAAAGGTATGATGACAACTCACCAATAGCCACTCGGGCTTGACCGAAGTCACTGTACGGATATAGTTCTTGGTTGTCAAGACAAATTCGTTGTAGATGACCCATTCACTGTCCTCAGCAAGAACAGTGCTAGGGTGCAAAAGAACATTTTGCTCGTCCTTGACGGTAATGTAGCTCTTGCCGTTGCCATCGCGTTTGGCGACTTGCATGAAGAAGCCAGCGACGAGCGCACGCTGAATGTTCTCGTAGTACTTCTTGTTCTCGAATGGTGTTGACATCAATTCGAGTTCCTCACGCTCCATTATGCGCTTGAGTTGAAGACGGACGTTGTCGGCTTGCTGCAAGGCTCGGTACGAGAGGAAGTGGTCATGGCACCACTGCTTCGGGTTTGCTTGTGCCTCCTCGCTCTTGAATGCGTGGTAGACATTCAGCATGGTAAGCTGGTCGCCCTTGGGATGCGCAAAAAGCTCCTTCATCTCGTCTGCTCGCTTCCGGTTGTTGGCTGGGCGAACAAAGATTTGAGGTACCGAGAGTAGCGCAGTAAGTGACAAAATCTCATTCGAGCAGTAGAACTCGGGTGAGGTGATGAGCATAACTGCCAAGGCGGGATCCAGAGGAAATTGCGAGGCAAGCCCTCCAAGTGTGGTGAGCTCGCCCTCGTCGTCGAGACATGCCAGGTAGTTGAGCTCCTCCAAGGCACGCATCAACGTCTCTGGCGCAGGTGGGTCCATCAGATCAAAGTGTACCAGATCATCGACTCCGAGCTTCTTCAACTCAAGAACGGTGCTTGCCAAATTCGATCGCAGAATTTCGGGGTAGGTCTGTTCGATGAGCTCCTTCTTGAAAGCTTGCTCGGTGTAAAGGCGGAAGCATTTACCAGGTCGCGTACGTCCCGCACGACCAGCTCGCTGTTGGGCTGAGGCCTTGGAGATGGGCGAAACCAGGAGAGACTCGACACGGATACGAGGGTTGTACACCTTTTGCTTGCTGAAACCAGGGTCTACAACGTAGACGATACCGTCGATAGTGAGCGATGTCTCAGCAATGTTGGTGGAAACGATGACTTTGCGCCCAGGACGGCCGCCTGGGGTGGAGGGTGGAGGCGCAGGGTTGAAGATCTTCTGCTGTTGTGCGGGCGGCAGAGTTCCGTACAGCGGGTACACGACAAGTGGCCCAGCACCGCCTTCTCGGGTAAGGTCCTGAGCCTCGAGATTGATCTTCCTGCATGCGTCCTCAATCTCTTCTTCACCGGTCAAAAACAACAGAATATCGCCTTCGGCTTCGGTGGCGTGGATCTGAAGGACGGTTCGCAGGGCGGCTTCGACGTAGTCTCGCTCGGGCGCGGGTGTGTAGAAGACCTCAACGGGGTGGGTTCGTCCAGGAACGGCGAGCAGCGGGGCGTTGTGGAAGTACTTCTGGAACTTGGTGGCATCGAGCGTAGCACTCATGATGATGAGCTTGAGGTCGGGCCGCCTCAGAACAACCTCCTTGAGCAGGCCCATGAGGATATCGGTAGCCAGGGTTCTCTCGTGAGCTTCGTCGAGGATGATGGTGCTGTAGCGAGTGAGGTTGTGGTCGTTCATGGCCTCGCGCAACAACATTCCGTCGGTCATGTACTTGAGGATGGTGTTGGGCCCCGTCTTGTCCTCGAAACGAATGCTGTATCCAACCTCCTCGCCGAGCTCGACGTCCATCTCCTCGGCCACACGCTGGGCGACGGACATGGCAGCGACACGACGCGGCTGGGTACAGGCGACCATCTTGGCATTCTCCTGCGGCAGGTCGTCAAAGAGGACGAACTGCGGGATCTGAGTCGTCTTTCCGGAACCCGTCTCACCGACGAAGACGAGGATCTGCGACTCCTGGTAGAGCTTGAGGAACTCGTCGCGCTGCTGGTGGACGGGCAGGTCTCGCCTCTTCTTGAGGATGCTCATGTACTTGCTCGAGAGCGGGCGTCCGGTGAAGGCGTTGTTGGGGCCGTCTTCGGCGGCATTTGCCAGCGCCGTGGTGGTGGCATGGCGCTTGAAGCCCTGGAGCCCTGTGCCGGCGCCGCTGTACTCGCTCTTGACGGGCTTCTCGTCGTTCCAGTGCGCCAGGTAGGGATTCGCCGCCGCGTCCATTTTGCCTTCGCCGTTGGCCTCGGTCTTGACTCGCTTGACGCGGGCACTGTCGTCGTCGCCGTATTCGCGCTTCGTCATGGCAGTCATTGTGGTGGATGGGCGTCGGCGGCGCGCGTGTGAAGGGCGACTGCAGTCGCCGTCCCAGAAAAAGTTATGCGACGGGCCCAAGTAGCTCCACTTACCGCGACTTCTCTAGCTTGGCGCGAACGTCGACAGGCTGCCAGGCACCACAGCAGAATCCACACGCAGCCATGTAGCAAATATACATTTCTCCACCTTGGGTGGTCCCTTCTTCCTGTCCAGCGCCATACCCCAAGTCCTCACGTCCAACCTCCCCCTGGTCGCGCGCGCCGCAGCATTGCATTCGCGACCTTGCTGACCCCGCGCCAGTCCGCATCATTCACCAACTTTTCTCCCGCCTGACAAAATACCCCCATATTGGCCCGAATAACCTCCGACCCTGATATGGATTACTCGGAAGGCATGGACGAGTCGTTCTCCGTCTTCTACATCGGCCAGCATGAGTCGAAGCGGACCCTGCATGTGTCGCCCGAATTGGTCCAGCACGCCCAAGATCTCGGTGTGAGTGAGTCGACGACTTGCACCAAGGACCCTGGCTGACAACCTCCAGTATGATATGCTTACTAGCACCATCACCAACGACCACTTCCAAAACCGCGTCTTGAGCCTCCTCAATTCCTACACCCAGACCCTCGCCGAGTCGCAAGACCAACCACTGCCTCTGATACCAGCCTTGGACAATTTTGATACGCCGCTTACTCCCAACGACATCATCGGTCAACTGGTAGCTTTCACTAGCTCCTGGATTGACCTGTCTTCGCCAGACCCAATCATTTCGCATTTGTCGCGACAAGTCTTCCATCTCGAGGTTGCCTATGCTGCTTTCTGTGGTGTTACCAATCTGGTCATCCCTGGGCCGAGACTCGCGCATGGACAGACCGGCGTATCTCAGTATGCTCGGTCCATCAAGGAAGCGCTCGTCACTGGATCTTACATCCAGCTGCACGTCCAGATGCCCATGGACGGAAGACAGTCAGACTCCAACAGCGACGACATGGGAGACCTAGCTCGCTTCGCAAGACAAGAGTTTGAAGCAACCGCCGAGGCCAAGAACGTTGATTCTTGGAGCTCATGGGACGCTTGGAACACCATCAGATCTATCTGCAAGTACCACAACAGATTGTCAGTCATGCTCGATCTTCCGCGTCGACTTCCATCGTTGGCTGTCCAGTCACGCTGGTTCTCCGAGCCTGTAAGACTGCTCAATCTGTTGGCCTCGTCGTTCCTTGTCAATGCTCGCCAATCCTTTGTTCTCTCCAAAGCGCACCAGGTCTTCATATTCCGTTGCATGCGCTTACAGCGTGGACCTTGGCTACTCATCTCGGATGTCGGCCCACTACCAGGCATCGATGACCCGGATATGATAATGTCATACTCAACCGGCCATCTATCTCCTCGCACAGTAGAGGATGCCCCGAGCCCTGGGGCTTCAACAATGGCCGCTCCAACTCCAGCTGAATCAGCTGAGATCGCAAAGAAGGCTCCCAAGAAGAGCAGTAGCAGCAATGACCCAACTCCTCACTTGAGCTATGTACGATATCTGCAGCGCAATCAGCCACCCAAGAGCCAGATCGAAAGGTTTGGTGGTGGGTTCCAGGACTACTTACAGAGCCCACTGCAACCCCTGACGGACAACCTCGAATCTATCACATACGAAGTATTTGAAAAGGACCCGATCAAGTATGCATGGTACGAGCGAGCTATTGCTCAGGCGCTGAAAGATTGGCACGCCGAGAAAAGATCGACTAGTTCAGACAACGGCGCTGTTGTTGTGGCCGTTGTAGGATCAGGTCGTGGTCCTCTTGTCACTCGTGCACTCAACGCCAGCGCGAGCTCCGGGGTCCCCGTCAAGGTTTACGCTATTGAAAAGAATCCCAACGCCTACGTTTTACTGCAAAGACACAACATCGAGACATGGGGAGGACGTGTCACTGTTGTTAAAACGGATATGCGAGCCTGGAAAGGCCCAACACAACCAGATGGTACTTTCGGCAAAGTAGACATTCTCGTCAGTGAGCTTCTCGGATCGTTTGCCGACAACGAACTGTCGCCCGAGTGCCTAGACGGTGTTCAGCATGTTCTGAATCCAACTCACGGAATCTCGATCCCGTCCAGCTATACTGCCCACTTCACCCCCATCGCCACTCCAAAGCTTTGGTCCGATCTGTATACTAGGAGCACCAGCGTCGACCCAAATGCCTTTGACATCCCCTGGGTAGTCATGTTGACACAGTTCGACTATCTCTCTACCGAGTCCCAAGAAACAATCGCTTCCCAACAACTGAGTAACGGCACCAAGATGCAGCACTTCAACCTAGAAGCGCCACTTACACCGAACGTGCGAACAGCATGGGAGTTCACCCACCCCCTCCCGCCTTCAGTTCTAGCTCAGTCCTCGCTGCGCAAGGGCGGTTCGGCAGTAGGTGGCGGAGGCGGCTTCAGCGGCGGCGACGGCGCAAACGAACACAACCTACGCTACTGCAAGATTGCTTTCCCCATCCAGGAGCCCGGTGTCTGCCACGGTCTCGGCGCGTACTTTGAAACCGTTCTCTACAGCGGGTCTGAAGGGCCTGTGGAACTCAGCACGAACCCTGTTACCATGGAGCAGAAGAGCAAGGATATGATCTCTTGGTTTCCCATCTTATTCCCACTCAAGGTATGTATCTGCCGGACACGTATAGAGGACGAGAGCTGACGTCGTGTGTAGAACCCCATGCAGCTTCCTGCAAACTCAGAGGTCGAAGTCAGTTTCTGGAGACAGACGGATGATCGCAAGGTGTGGTATGAATGGCTTGTTGAGAGTTATATGACGATCAACGGACAGAGGATACGACTGAGTGTATCTGATCTCCATTCGAGCAAGTCTAATGGCTGCATGATGTGAAAGGGACATTGATAGTGTTCTCTTAGTGTCTGCTAGATACCACTTCACCTGCGGGCCAAAAAGTTGCTGATTATCTTGCTTCACCAGTTCTTCACCAGGGCCATGTTACACAATTACTTGTAACTCCACTGCGGTGCCACGACGACGGGTTTATGCACGAGGAGCGCACTGGTGCCATGTAGCTTCACTACGGGATGCCAAGTCGCTCGCACGCCGGAGTTCAGGATATCGCTTATGATTCGTGGTATCTCAAACTGAAAAAAAAAAGTTCTCCTTTGCGCCATGATGGTCTTCCTGTTGTGCTCTTCTCCAAAATTGACCTGTTCTTTTCGTAATCGAGCACACTCGTATCAACTTTACAAATACTCCTTCTTCCGTCCCGTCCTCGTGTACTGGTTAAGATGCCATTCCACATCCCCCTCCTTATTATCCAGCGTCCCTGCCCTAATCTCGAACAATCGCATGCTCATCCGCGGTCCCACTTCGGCCAGCTCAACCGACTGGAAACCTGTCTTGACAAAGACGTGATGTCGCACCTCGATCGTATCCTCGATGTTCTTGAACGTGACAACGCGGTTTCCGACCTTTGCCGTGGCTTCGCGGGGCGGGAAGAGATGTTTTAGAATCTGTACGCAGCGCTGTCCTAGCTTAGTGGAGAAGCCTTCGAAGATTAAGTGGGGGTAGGATTCGGAGACTGTGCCGCGGGAGGCGTTGGGGATATCGGCGCGGAGAACGACGTTGCTGGGAGGTGTGAGTAGATGGACAGTGCAAGACGCTGGTGGAGTGCTTACTGTAGTGAGAAGCTGGCGGTTGGGCCGTGAGGGAAATGCGAAACTGTTAATGCCGTGGGTGTTCCTCTGTGCTCGTGAAGCAAGACTATGTCGCTCAATCCGCCCGATTTTGCGCTCTCGACCAGGTTTGGCAGGACCATGTTTCCACGGTTCAATCGTATCGCTGTGGGTAACAGTAATCTGATCTCCTTGGCGAAGGTGCCCAGTCTACTTGACGGGTCTATCTCAGCGTCAGCATATTTGTGTCATGCCGCTTCTCCCAGGCTTTTGTACCTCTCGAAGTTGTGACCAATATCCGCGGGTCTACGACGCCCGACAGCTGCGCATACTCATCGTCTAGTCCAAGCTCTTCCTCTGCTGTCCTATCTGCCCTGCTCTCATCGTATTTGTAATCCTGGCGCAAGGTCTGGTCCTCGGCGACATCTTTGGACAAAGGCTTGCCGCTGGCGAGGGAAGCCTTCAGTGCTGCTCTTTTCGAAGCGAGCTCGGCATCACGAAGAGTTAGAGCGCGACGGTATAGGTAGTCGCGACGTTCTCGGGCTTGTTTTCGGATCATGGTCGAGGTATGTGACGTGTGGTTGGAGATTTGCTTGAGGCGCAATGTTGGAGTTCGCGACGCAGCGACGAAAAGTAAAAGTGGGCCGATCGAATGAGCTTATCGATAACGCGGCCAATGCAACAACTTTGGACTACAAACTTGTCTATTCACGTCGTGCTTGACATGTACTGCAAAGATATGCGCTTTCGCTCACATCACCATACGTCGAAACGGGATACATTGAATGCTTCTAGTATGCACCTCTGGTAGTTGTAAAATCGACGACATCCTTGTCCCTTGCACGGCAACTAAAGACTACCTGGATCCACAAAAACTCTACCCCGTCGAACCGGTACACCAGGAGGAGACGTTGGCTCGAGATCCTCATTCCAACACTCATAAAATGCCGCCCAGATATTGCTACTGAAGTCGGCCTCGACAGGACCCGGGAACTCGCCAATGAGATATCCAACACCACGCGTCGCCTCGCTGTAGAAGTTGCAAGCGTGCGCAGACTCTACATGGTAGCTTGTGGGTTGGATGTAGTAGCCATCGTTTCTCTCGGAGGTGATGACGCGGACGTTGTTGTGACCGGTGATATCGAGTTGGTAAACCTTGCCCTCGCTGTCGGTAACGTAGCCCACCTCGCTGGTCAAGGTCAGCATGCATCTGCGGTATTTGTCGTACATAGCTTTTTGCTGTCGATTGGACTCTGATACCGACACGGTATGCTCCGATGCGATCTTTAGGAGAGCTGACTTACTTGAGAAGCTCAGAAGCTACAATGGCAGATGCGAATGCGAAGGCGCCGAGGAGTATTGCGGAGAAGTGCATCGTAGAAATACAATGGATCCCTTGAGTTGCAAGCTATCAATTTTGACGGAAAGACAGCTGGAGCGAGGACGCCGAGGGCTGGAAGGAGAGGAAGATGAGGTAAATCGCCTATGAGACGTAGCCACGAGCGCCTCCGTCTTGTCGCTGCCTTATGTGTTATTGAAGCAGGAGCGTTTGCCTTGGTGACTGTCTTGAAAATATGGACCGGTACGACAAGTCATGTTGCACAAGCGGGCACTGACAGGTTATACTTATCCTACACACAATAGCGTTCTTCTAGCATGCATCACTACCGTGGGACCGAAGATAAGCAAAGAGAAAAAGGAATCAAGAGAACATGTTAGTATGTATTAGGTGCTACAAGAAACGATTTTCCTACGAGCTGAACCCTAAGCACTAAGCTAGAAGACGAAAACGGTTGGCCTTTGCCGTTCGAGACTCAAAACTAACAATAACGTATCCGACAAAGTGTGCTCTAGTTTCGAGCCCAGCCCTTGAAAACGATCGCTTACTACAACCCGCTGCAGGGCTTAGCGATATACAGTATGTACATTGGCGCTCAAGCAGGAGGGTTGTGGCAGCTCCAGAAATTAGGCTGCTTCTTCCAACGGCGTTCCTTCCCCATGACAATGTCACAGCGTCCAAGCCTATCGATAGTGTCATCGACGCCGCTGTTGCAGGATCCGGAGTCGACAGAACTAGATAAGCAAGCATTAGCACATAGACCTTCAGTGCCTCGGGCGGAAGTTGAGGTAGTATGTACTCACTAGTACAAGTTGCACTCGCAGTTCAACATCTTGATACCAGTGACCTTGTCTGGGTTCAAGATCCGCTGGCATCCATCATAGCCCAGCTGCTGGTTGACCTCATCTCCGATCATGACCTCGGCACAGATGTTTGGGTTCATGTAACATTTTTCGTTCTTTGTCAAGACGCTACGCATTGCAAGAGAGAAATCTCGGGGATGGATTGCAGCAAAAGCAATTGAGACGAAGCTCAAGAAGGCGATAGAGTAAGAACCGAGGAGATGCATATTGTTAAGGTCGCCAGGAACTGCCTAGAAATCAGTGTGCGAGGTCAGTATCTGTCTCACATGCGGTTTGTAGGCGGATTTTACTTGCGTTGAAGTGTCGGTAAGAGCCTTGATTCGACTTTGCTGTCCACTGTCGTTAGGCTTGTGGAGAAGCAGTAGGAGGTGGATCTTTCCTGCCTGCTTTTATAGTAACCCGCGATGACACGCCAGGTCGTGCCGCATAATTCATTTGCACGCAGCTCGAGGTCGTTCACCGGTAAGATTGAATGATTTTAGGAATGTGTGGCCGAGCCCGCAGAGGGCTCGCGCTCTATGGCTCGGGCCGTGCTTTCCACGGGTTTCAAAACGCGCGGAGAACGATAAATCCACTCTTTCGGATACTACGAGTATTGGTTCAAGATCGCTTACGTGCATTTATATTGCCAGCTCATCAATCATGCACTGTTGTGGCGTGAATGGGGCCGATGCTGTTCTTCGAAGGTCAACCCCGACGCCAACCCCGACGCCATCTCGCATATGAGGCGTGGCAGGAGTGAATCCTGCTCGCATTTAGGATATCAATGATATGCAACAATTTGATCTAGAAGCGACAAGATCAACGGCACTGTCAATGGGCGTGGGGACTGACAAATAAGTTGGAAAAAGCCTGAATGCGTTCGCAGTGTCTTCATGTACTGCATGCACAAGAAACGGAACTGCGCATTCATTTGGGCTAGAAAATCAACATTCCGGCTACAATGAAAAGAGGAATACGATGGAAGAAAGGTTTTATTATGCTAATCAAGTCATGATGAAATCTACCAGCGCCGCAAATAACCATCAACGGCGCCAAGTCAGTAGCTAAGCCACCACTGACATACCGAAGATGTACTCAGTTATAGTATTACCCATCGATCCTTCATGTCTATCCCACCCACTCATGAATGTATCAGCCAATCATCGCGCACTTGTACCACTTGGGATTCGGGTCCTCGAAGCAGGGCTCCTTTCCGGGTGTGCCAGTCGGCCCTTCGTACATGGGTGGATTGATTGCTCCTTTGCACTTCTCCTCGCTCCTAGTAGTTGTTAGTGCACACCGTGCAGAGGGTGTATGTTCGCCTTCCATAGTCTGACTCCGACGAGGAGGTTGTCTCGACAAGGACGCCGTGTATCGATGGGACTTACAAATGGAATGAGCATCGACATCCCCCATAGAGGCTGTAAGCATAGGCGTCTTGATATCCAGGGATCGACTGGTTGTAGTAGATCGCCGTGCAATCAGAGTATGCGGAGATACCAGCGTAGGCGCTACTGTTTCGGACGGTGAGAACGTAGCCGCAGTTGTATGGCTCGCCGTAGGTAGGTGCGGATAATGCAACAGGTAAGGTAGAAAGCAAGCTCGTGAGGATGGTGGTGAGCTGCATCGTAGCTATCTATCGATAGATTTGGCTTCGATAGAGACGCGGTATGTCACTGATAAAATCGCGGAGGATGCCGGAGATGTGGTTGTGCAGACTACGACAGGGCGGGAGGCCTTTGAAGACAATCTTTTGAGTGTAGTTTGGATAGTGTGTTATGCTCCAACAGAAAGCGTGCGAAGTCTAAATACTACATTTGAGTTGCGATGAGCTCATGTTCAAATGTTTTCGCCAGTCGTAACCGAGCTGTCAAAATGCAAGTTCCCGTCATCAGCATGGCTTTGGTCCTCCCTTCCTTGCCTATCATGGATGTCGGGAGTTACACACAAATACTGTTTGAATGTCACCTTCGCTATCCTGATGAATGCACCTACTATAATGTCCTATCAAACATGGTGAATATGATCAGGAGCCATATGTGCAATATGTCGGTCAGGCCGAGTTGACGTGTTCGGAGTTGGGAGCAAGTTGACCGCCGAACCGCACCTCTCCAGTACAACGTCAGAATGTATTCGAGACGTTAGCAGCAGTAGCATGGCGTAATATATGTGTCGATAACATAGTTCTGGTGTGCTTGGCACGGTTTGCTACTTCATCTCTACAGGAGCGCAACCGCCGATTGGTCAATGGTAGCGGTGAGTATAGTTGGAGGTGTTACTGCAATGGTATGACGAAAGAGACTGGAAATAAGTAGTGCTCGGAGTGGTCGTACCAGTTCCCTAGATAGATGTGATACGAGCGATTTTAGCAGCATCAGGACAAATACAGGCGAAAAGGAGAGCTGTAATGTTACAATGGATGCAGTGCTCTGAAGATTCAGTGCTCGACGTCGCGAAATCGGAAATGTGCCCTAAAGGCTATCGCGACATTTCGTGTCAATGTCTTAGAAAACGAGATGATGGTGTATGCCTCAAAGGTGTTTTAGAGCTTCCTGTTGACAGGAACACGAGAAAAATCTGTGGCATCTTGAATCATTTGCACCGTCTAGTGAATGTGGTCAAGGAAATGGGAGAAAAGGCACGTCGATGCTGGAGATGACGAAGAGGGGTGGCTTTAGCGTGCACGTGAGAACGCGAGACCTCACGCGTCAACATTGACACAAGGATCAAACGTCCAGACCCATATTCAGACTCAATCCAACTCGCACACAATATGAGCAGAGCAAACATAGAACAAGCCCTCACAGGCTTAATACCCACCCTGAGCGGGCCATTGCCAGCTGAGCTGATAGAGCTCGCGCTCTCGCTACTGACGCGGTCGCGAAGCGTCGCGACATCAATGAAGCCAGATGAAGAGATCGCACGACCATACGCGTGTGCGCAATTAGCGTGTGAGAGGTATGAAAAGCACCCAACGCACGTTCTGGCATCACGCTGACATGTAAAAGGCTCAGGAAGCGTCTCAACCTCCCAACCATCCAATCGCGACCGCCTTGCCCCCCACGCATATACAAGAAACTATACAACTACCTCAGCAGCGCACTCCCAGACAGCACAGCGGCCCGTGAGCCAACTACACCGCGAAAGCCGACAGCTTCAGCTCCGGCATCAGCACGCAACACACCGTCCAAAACGCCGTTGGGCGCTAGGAAAACACCAAGAAGGGTTGAAACCAATGGCGAAGCACCAGAATGGGTTATGCCCACTATACGCGCCTTGGCAAAGTCATTCGACTACACCGGTCTGATACCCCACGTATATACAGGAGTAGAGTCCATCTATCCGCTGCTATCCCGAATGTCCGCCGCTGCCGCCGAGTCACCCAGCAAGCGACCTAAAAGAACCGCAGTATCGTCCTATGGGGATGTCAGCGATACGCGCGTGCTAAGCCTCATCGTCGTGGCTTTTCTCTTAGTCTACTCGCGCATGAAAGACATAGAGGTTTCAGTACAACAATACAACGAATGGCTGGCGAAAGCAATCAAGGCTGTTGTTGAACTACCTGCTGCCAAGGACATTACAGACGAGGAGCTTCAAATCAAAATAGAAGAGACGATGAAGATGGCAAAGGAAGAGGGATGGTTGCAGATGCAGTGGTTCGATAGTGTGAAGCCTCAGAGTGATGGAGATGAGATGGAGGGTGTGGAGATGAGCGATAATGCGGCAGTCAAGGCGAAGGGTATGGGGCTGAAGGCTGGTGGCAGTGATTATATTGGCTTGGGTACTATGATGCAGGATGCAACTGATTATCTGGGTGAGCGCCAGCAGGAAGATTATACGAGATGGAAAGCGAAGATTTTGGCGAGAGTGCAAGAGCTTGAGGGGTCGGCGTAACTAGCCACTTTGAAGAATAGGACGGAACGCGAGCGACCCGTTGCAGCAACACACGAGAAAGCGAATTCATAGGCGTACATCACCGAACGCTTGGATGATATCTCCGAATTGCAAAAGGCTACAGCAGGTCCCACTAGAGTCTTCAGGGTATTCGCAGCATCTTTCATGGCCAGATCTACGTTGCGAGGTTCAATACCTCCCTCCGCCATACCCGTCATATGGCGCGCCATGCACAACTCTAAGCCATTACGGTGTGCACCCTAATTACATTTTTCCCTCGCTTCCTGACACTGGCGATTCGGCTATTCACCACGCCTACCGGCTCATCCGGTCTGGTCACCTCAGCTGATGGTACATCTCCAATACTGAAGAATATGTGTAGATCATCTTGAAGGCGTCGATTTTTGAAGGGCGATTTCTCATTCTTGACTACAGTCACTTTAGTGATCCTCTTGATTCCAAGTTCGGCCTTGTGTGCTGCAAGCAAGTGACCAGCTGTGGCGCCGATGGGTGAGCCTGGAGGTAATCAGTACGAGATCTTAGCAAACCAGGGAGTTGAGGATAAGATCAGGTCAAACCCACGGCTTTCCCAGTCGATATTCTCACTTGTCTATCAATGCATGCTACAAGACTTACCGATCAGGACTCGGAACTCCTCGCTCCCAATATTGAAGACATTACCCGGCCAGACGGACAATTTATTTGTGCCGACATTCTTCAAGGCTCGAGCTACCAATCGAGTTGTGTCCGTATTGATGACATTGTGAGCACCATAGACCCGGAAGTTCTTGACATTAGGGTTATCGCGGACCCAATATGCCCAGAAGACGTCAGACGCAAATTCGATTGCAGGAAGCTCTCCAGGATTGGCACTACGACCCCAAGACATCGGACTAAGAACGGCATGGCGTGGGCTCTCGATGTTCTTGGCAATGAGACCTCCATCATGGTTGATAGCGAACTGGTAGACGCCGGCTGTGGCCTATCGTGTCTTGTTAGTATCCCGTCCCAACGTAGGCTGTTGTACCTGCCCATGAATATAGATTTGACGTACTGTATACTCCTTACCGTCGGCTTTGTATTTCTGGTCCTTGATAGGAATCGTCTGGCCCCATTCATCATCAGGGTCTGCAACCCAGTATTCGTCATAATGTTGAATTGAATAGCAGTCGTTGCTCCCGGCTTGTGGATCACCCTCGTCATCATACTTTGATTGCGAGTTGAGACCGAGACCTTCAAACGTCGTTTTGAGTCCCATGCCCTCGAAATCACATTCCCAGCCCTTGTCGTACTGCGACTCGTGCCAGAACCATTTTTGGAGTTCAGCTGTCGGAAATGTTGGTCTCCTGGTATCGAGATTATGAAGAGGTTGTGCTCACCTCTGAGATCACCCGTCCATTTGCTCGCGGCTGAAGGTGGTTTTCTCGGATCCTTCTCTAGCCATCCTGCGCCCGCGTCCGTAGCCTCCATCAAACACATCATGTGGTCTCCCTTCTTGAGGTATTTGTCCCAAAGAGCCTTATCAGCCATGTTCTCTGGATCAAATCCGTCACCTCCCAGGGCAGGCGCGAACTCAGGAGGGTTGAACGAGGCAGGTGCCCCCGAGGGGTCGACGCCGAAGATCTTGGGTGAAAGCGCAGCCCTCTCACTAACAGCCAAGGAGGCCACTGCTACAATGACGCCTGAAGCGAATCGGAGCCTCATATTCGAGATTGCTGCGATAAGTTGAGTGTGAGACCCAAATACTGAGGGGTGCGTGGTAGACAAGGAAAGCATGTTTGTCACTCGATATACGCTAGCCTAACTCAGCGGTAAAGTGAAAGAGCGACCAGTGAGCGAAGTTTTGGCGCAAGAGAGATGGAACCTAACATCAGAGTTATGTAGAACTCAGCATAATCATATATACGCACGATCACTCCTTATACAGCTCCGCAGTCCTCACTCTCCCTTCATCAAGCACACTACCCAAGAGATCACCTTCACTACCACTCCGCGGCACAAGCCTCACTCCAAAATCCCTTGGTATAGCCACTAAAGCACTCTTGATCGCGTTGTAGTCCACGTAATCCGTGTTTGGTGGATTCGTCACACTGGCCTCAATCCTGTACAGACTGAGCAAACGGAACAACGCAGCATAGATTAGCTTGCTCGCTATCAAAGCACCAGGACAAGACCTAGATCCGGCACCGAAGGAGAGGTGAGGCGGGTTGGCGTGCGAATTCGGTGCATGTAAGGCGTCTGGGGATGAAGGGGGAGTGAGCCAGCGTTCTGGGTCGAAGGTAGCGGCTGTAGGGCCCCAGTAGTCGGTATCTATAAGTCGTTAGCTATCCATCACATTGCCCTCAGCTGGCCCAAGGTGGGTATTTCCGTACCATGATTACCAGCCTGAGCGTTGATCAACACCATCGTCCCTTTCGGGATGACAGCATCCCCCCACCTAACCTCTCCCATTGTCTTACGCGGCAAACTCATATTACTAACGGTATAATACCGCCCCGCTTCCTTCACGATAGCGTTCAGATATGGTACGGTTTCTTTCTCAAAGTCTGTTGCCCAGGCTTTCTTCAACGCCGCGTCGGTAGGATACATTTTGCGTATCTCGGCATACGCGCGGTCTTGGAAGATCTGGCCTGCGGGTGTGGAAAGGGAGCCGATACAGGATACAAGCGTACCAGGTATAGTTTCGAAACCGCCAGAGACGAGAGACAGACAGATGGAGCTTACTTCTACGCCCGTGAGGCGGGTTTCTTCGTCCTTGAGGATAGCGGCGCTGATGCATGGTTTTTCCGTACCGTTCTTGATCATCCCGCGGACTTTGTCAAGAAGTTCGTTTAGATACTTATCTCGCCGTTCACGCAGTTCTTTGGAGCGCCGGTTCTTTTCGTTGTTCGGCAGGTGTCTCAAGATGGGGACGTAGTCTTGGTAGTTCTCAGAAGCGGAGCGGAGGAGCGAGATGGCGGATCCCACTTCGAGGATCTCGCGGAGCAGATCGTCATAGACTGCGTCCATGCGGATGCCGTAGCATAACGTGAGGGTTGTATTGAGGGCATAGCGTTGTATGTACGGTCGAATACTGACCTCGACTTCCCCACTCTTGCTATCGCGATGGAGGTCTCGAAGGATGCAGTAAGATTCCAGGTCGAACATATCATAGTAGTTCTTCATCATACCCTTACTCAATGTAGTCGATGCAGCCTTGCGCTTGTTCCGACAACTCTCATCCCACGGGGAGCTTCCGATAGTGAAACCTTGAGTCGAGGAGATCAGACCATGGAAGGTATACAGTTTTGGCCGATCGATCAGTCCTTGAGAATTTGAAACCAGAATCTTTTTACAATCTTCGAAGGAGTTGACGATCACAGCGCGCGTGTTACCAAGTCGGATCTGGAAGACAGAGTTGCCGTACTGCCGCCACCATTTCTCGCATACTGTAGCATGGTCGTCGCCGAGCTGGGTGAGATGACCCGTAATTGGGAGGGCGCCCGGTATCTCTGGTAGACCACGGATATACGGGACGTCAGTGCGGGTGAGCAGCTATCAACGTTAGCTCAGATCTCCTGGCATTCGGTGGCATGCTCACTTTGTATATTACGAAAACTGCAATTGCAACGATCGAAACCACTACCACATGACCAGAAGGGAGGTACCTGGCATGTGGTACTATATCTGGCAAATGATCCATGTTGGAAGTGAACACGCGAAGCTTATAGATCAGCAGCAAGTGGAAATAGCCATTAGTAGAGCGTCAAAATGGTTTACTTATACTTGCCATGATCCAGATCTATTAGCACATTGCCTGCACCCAATACTATCGTGCATGATTGTGAGGGGTTCGGTCGGAAGCATTCCGAAGATAACGGCCGCTTATCAGTGCTGCTCCCACCTTTGAGTTGCTAAACAGCCGCTCAACGCGCTGACAGCACTTCTTGACCAACATGGAGGAGACTGTCATGGGTCTAAAGTTCCTTTCGCATGGAGCTGCCGAATCGAGTTAATGACGTATGGGAAATAGAAGGAATGTAAGAATACTGTACACGATCTCACCGTTCGTCGTAATCAAGCCTGGCGGGCCACAATGATGGTATACACAGCAATCTGCGTTGATGTACTACCAAGAAGGTGACAGTGTATACCTTTGAAATACGTTATCGCGTGACTGTTGATGAGATCAGATGTCCAGGAGCTTAGCATGCTTAACATCAATCTCATCAACAAAATCTCCAATATCCCCAATCTCCGCGTACCCCTCCGTTTTGCCAAATCCCAAGTGTTGCTCAACGCTCTTCCACGGACACAAAGCCACAGAAACATTTCTCTTGTCTCCTTTCCCACCAACACACCATCCACGCCCAGTCTTACCCTTTAACCCGTTTATGTGACCCTGTAAAAACCGCAGTTCTTCATTAAAAGCATCGAGGAACCGGTGTCTCTCATCAGCCTTGACGTTGCAATGGACGATACTCCATACCAGTTCCCCACGACGCGCTTGTTCGAGTTGCGCCTGAGTTGTCGGCAAGGGGAGCTCAGCGTTCGATACATCAAGGTGTTCGAGGTTGGAGTCTACAGTAATTGCGTCTTTTAGACTCTCCAGTAAAGCTTGGTTGTCTGCGCTTGGGATGAAATCATTTAAGTGCTGATCGAGCGAGTCCCATTCTCCGATGACGTAAATGCACGATGGGTCTTCCGTCTGCTGCATGTAGTAGAAGGTGCGGCCGGTGTAGTTCTGCAGGACTGATTTTGCCTGCGACAGTTTCGAGCGGAGGGCGGCATCGTCGATTGTGGTACCGGGTGTGAGGTGGAGGAGAGCGAGTTCGGTGATGGGCATTGTAGACGCGTATCTAGTGGCTGCGATGGCTATGTCATTGCATCGTTAGTATATGATCAAGAAGACGTGTCCCTCTTTATGGCACTATTGTGGTGCATGATGTGCGTGTAAGGCAGACATGGCTGCGTAATTATCCTCAGGCAGAAGTCTGGTTGCGTGGAAAGGAGGATTCAGGTTGCAGCGCGATGCATGACACGCGAACGCTAGTAAGCCACCAACGGTACTTTGGCTGCCCTGGGCCCGGTATAATCACTATGACTTCCAACGCTATCTCCAACTGGGAAGCTGGAAGAATACATGTCGCATACATGACTCCATACGTTAGGTCAACCGTCGTTGTAACTGTCTGTCTTGAAGTACCATTGCCGCCGCCACACGGTAATTACGAATGCACGATATTGCTTCGCATACGCATGTGCGTCCAAACTGTCAAAGATTGTATCCCTGACAATAGCAGATCTGGCAACGATATGTATCGAAGGAAAAGGAAAGCGCGCCACAGTCGACCTGTCTGCAAGGTACGTCATTGGCCACCTTTTTATCTGTGTAATCATTGGTGGTATTGTACATAGTGCATCTGCGTGTGCCGTGGCAGCAAATCACGACCCCATGGATCAATGTGGTTCCAAGTGCAGTGCTACTGACCCATCAATATCTTCAATGTCTCCACCCCCGCTCCAAGCACATCTGGACTTCTCGTCCCCTTCAGCACTTCTTTCAAATCCTCTATCACACCCTCCGCCTTACACTTTTCCACCCCCTTAGGCACATCCACTACACTCCTCAAACAAACAATTCCCCGATACCTGATGCCCTCATCATCGTCTTTGCACAGTCCTACCAGCCACTCAACACTCTTCTTCTGCTGCAAAAACTCCAGCACAGCGATATCAACACTCAGCAGCATAGCCAGTGCGCCACCAGCCGCTGAACGCGTAGCAGCGTCATCAACGTCTGTCATGGCGAGCAGAAGGTGCAAGCGATGTTTCGCTCGGGGGCTTCCGTCAGCGAAGTTCCCGATGCAGACTGGTGAAGCCATGAGATTGCATATGAGTTCCGTTGCCGCACGTCGTATCATAGTATTGGCACCGAGTAGTAGATCATCGACAACAGTATCGAAAGACTGGCGTATAATATGGTCTTGTGTATTCCGATCCAAACTCGCGAGGTTTGTGAGCGCGAGCAGCGATTCAAATGCGTGTAGTTGCCATATGCTCGAATCTGTTCGCTGTAGTTGGCTGAGGAGCGGGCGGATGGCTGATGTGGTTGGTAGTGCGGCGTTGAAGACATGGGAAGGGTTTATGCTGATCAAAAGTCGGGAGAGTGCTTGTGCGGTTGTGGGCAAGGCGGCTGGTGGGAAAGGCGTTGTGCCGGTGGTCGAAAGATCGTTGGTGGAGGATATGTGGTCCCAGATCTGGATGAGCAGTTTGACCGCGCCCTGCTGGGCCATCAGACCTCGGGACTTGGTCTCTTTCGAGAGCGAGAGGAGTATCAGACTGCTTTGTGTAAGGATTGATGGAGAGCCCTTTTTGCAGACGTGGACGAGGAGGGGGACAACCCCCGCTTCGAGAATGCGTTTGCATCGTATAGCGACGTCTTCGTCATTAAGTAGGACGTGCGGTGCGGATGGCTTCTGGACATTGGCGTAGGCTTTTAGTTGTGCCATGCGCTTCTCCTCTTCCGATTGCAAGGGGAGGTATTGTGTGATGTTGACGAAAATGGTGAGACCGCCAAATACGATGTTCTTTGGTGACGAAGGATCACTCATGGTCTCGATGAGGCGTTTGAGGAACTTGGGCGATTTGGAAAGATCCTCTCGTACTTTGGGTTGAAGAGAAGCATATGCTAGACCCTCGACAGAATCCTGCTTTGAAGATGTGTCGCCGCCTATGACCATTGACTTGAAGCTAGCGATTAGATCACTCTGGTCTACTTTCTCCGCCCGGACGATCCTTGGCGCATCCTCAGACGGCTGCTCCTCGCCCAGCTTGACGAGTATGAGCGCGGCTAGGTTAGCCCGCTTCTTATTCTGACTCTCTGCAACCACGTCCTCCAGCCATTCTCTGCAGTGCTTGCTGATCGCCTCTCGGCAATTCTTATCCACGCATGCAGCGCTGATAAGTTCTAGAGTCGCTTGTTCGAGGTTGTGCGACTTCTTGCTCTGGACCCTAGGCACCAACGTGCTGACAAAGCCCTCTGTAAGGAACAACGCAGCTGCTGGCGTGACAGCGACTGGAAAGATGGCTGCAGCCGCTGAAAACGCGATAACGAGGTCGTTCGCTTCTCCCTTCTTGGTCCGAGCCGCAACAAACTTCGATATCAACTCGCTGGCAGTTTCTGGTGCAAGCTCGAATAGCTTGATACTTGCGAGGGTAGCTTGACTGCGTAGGCTGGCAGGTAGTCGGATATCCAGTGAAGTGAGAATCACGTCGAAGCTATCCGCATCGATGATACCCTTGAGATGCTCTGCATAATGAGCGAGCAGCTGCGCAATGCCTTTCATCGCACGTTCTGGGTGCTCGAGCGCCTCCTCCATCATCATGGCTAGACTGAGCATGAACATGTCTCGATGACCTTGCTTGAATGATTCATCGTCGGGCCAAATCGCTCGGTTGAGCAAGACCTTGAGCAAGCCGTCGATAGAGTCGTCGCCCCGCTCGAACATTTCGTAGTAAATCCGCGTCGGCTGCTCCCGGACGGCTCTCGCAAGCCACATCTGTGCTCCCGGATTCTTCAGTAGCTCGCCCGAGACCTGATCCAACACATCATCTTCGCCCTTGAAGTCAAACAAGATATCCATCGCTTGTTCTGCTTCTTTCTGCTTCAAGCCATGTGTTTTTATCGCTTTGAGTGCCTTTTCTCCATCGTGTTCATCCTTGCTCCTCACCCAAGCTCGACAGTAACCCAGCAATTCGCTCTTGTCTTCCTCTTCCTTCAGCGCAACCCATGCTTCCTTGATGCGCGGATGCTCAGGCGCAATCGTACTAGCCTCACGCAGGTACCGAGCTGCAACAGCTAATTCGCCAGACTTGGTGCTCTCATTTGCCCTCTCCACAAGCTGCACCGCCCTGTCTTCGTCAGAAGTAGTTGCCATTGTGAGGTGTATGGTGAATGGAGATCATCTCAACTGACCAACTTGTTGGCTCATGGTTGCGTACGTGTCACGGGGCCTGGAACGATTTGATGCAGGACGCACGGGCCTCAGCGGAGCTATCTAGTGGAGAGCGGGGGATGGCTGATCAGCCTACCCAAGTTCAGCCTGCAGCGATCCTGAGGCGTCAAGTCATCGAGAGCACTTGCTGAGCGGGGTATGCAGAATCTTGTTCGTTACCAAATACGGTTCATGAATCCATTACAATAATCTAATCCTCGCTCTTCAGCAACGAAGCCTATGCGAATCTGTTCTGCGCCGAAAAATATGCGCCTAGAAAATGCTCAAGTACTAGATGCTTCGCGAAGAACAATGAAACCACCAAACGCAACTCCAAACGTATCGTACAAGACCCCAACCAGAACCATATGCAAAACGCTATGCGAACCCCAATATGTAATTGCGAAACGTGCGCCAATTCCATTCCCAAATGTCCTTATCCCCACAACTCCATGCTTATATGTTCTCATCATCATGTGTACCACTATTTGCCGTCGTCGACGGCAGTATCTGCTCGTTTGCGCTGGATAACGCCAAGGAACAGCAGGCGCTCCCATACATCGTCCTTGACGAGCACGCGCGTCTTGTCGAACGGCAGCCCGTCGAGCTCCCTCAAGCTCCTGCATAGATTGGCAAGCATCATCTCGGTGACCCGCCGCCTAATGCGGGTTTCGTAGTCCAGTCGCTGGAGATGTTGCACATCTGCTTCAACTTCCCCCTCAGGTAGAACGAAGCGGTTCGTGAGCTGCTCGTCGGAGGGTTTCTGCCTGAGAGACATGATCCTATTTTCACATGTCGGAGCGTAGAAGCGAAGCGTGAGCGGGTTGTCTCGCCAGTCTAGCTTCGAAAGTGTAGCTAGCTTGCCCAAGACCATTGCGTTGGCACGTAGGCGCTCGAGCTTGTTGCCTGCCAGGAGAAGCTCACTTAATCGCTTGATGTTGAGGAGTGGCCGAAGATCTGTCAAAGAGTTGAAGTTGAGGTTGATAGATCGAATGTTCGGCGTAAGCTGACCGAAGTTATCTGGTAGTTCCTTTAGACCCATGGAAGCCAATTCTAGGCGCTGAAGACTCAGTAGATGTTGCGAGATCTGAAGGCCATACGTCGGATTGAGCGAGAGATACAGGTTGCGAACTTCTGTATTCCTGACAAGATTGCTCGCACACATCTCCATGTCCGACTCCGAGTTGAGGATCTGTTCGCGAGCGGAGAATGTGCGCAGATGTCGAAGATGTTCTAGGCCAGATACTTGGGTCAAACAGTTGCCATCGACATAGAGAGACTCGAGCTTAGGGAAGTACTGATCAACATCAAGCATCGTGGTTCCGTTCCGGCAGATACGGACAGACCGTAGGAATCTGCAAGGCTTGAAAGGCGTGTCGATAAGCGGAAACTCCTCTATCTCATTGTCGTCTGCTATCGTTAGTAATGTCCTAGCAAATGTAGCGACCGAGAAACATACCAAGGTTGAGATGCTGGAGTTGGGGCAAGCAGTGCAGATTCCGTACTTCAAGCAAGTGGTTCTTCCTCAAATCCAGATCAGTGAGAGATTTCCTGTCGAACAGATTAGCAAACAATGATGAGATAGAGTCTCTAATCTGACTCACAGATTTGTTCGGCTGAAGTCAACTGTGTCGATCTCGTTGCCGCGAACGCTTAATTCCATCAGGCCATCGAGATGTAGAATGCCTTGAAGAGATCTGATCTTGTTGTTGTCCGCCTTGAGAATTCGGAGATGCACCAATTCAGCGAGGCCGTCCAATCTGTCGATATCATTACCGGATATGTCAAGGTGTTGTAGGTTGACGAGGGTCGTCCATGAGGTAAGTCCATTCAGACAGTTGTTCTGTGCCTGCAGTCGACGCATGGAGTAAGGAATACCCTCAACCTGATTGATCTTATTGTCTGAAACATCAAGCTCCTCGAGGTGGTAGCAGAGCTCATCTAGACGGTGCAAGCTGTTAAGGTCCTTTTTGTGGAGATTGACAGTACGGAGATCTTCCCAATAAGGCTCATCGGGCTCGACATCCTGTAGTGCCTTCACAAGCTCAGCAGTGCCTTGTGCATAACGATCTTCTAGAGCTTTGGAAAACCGGCTACCGTTATGTTTCACCACAACTCGGTCTGGGAGATCGAATTCATCGATTTGGTTAAGAGTAAACTCAGGTAGGTCACTGAGCATGAATGTGACATCCTTTACAGGTGATGATGGTGCAGTCACAAGCGTATCCCGTCGTCCATGGCGAAGAGAGGGAGCAGAGACGTTCATCGATAACTCCATCCGATAATTCTTCGACGGGGCATCATCCAAAATCGACAAGTCGCCATCTCCGTTGAACACGGGCAGACGGCTGGGTCGTCCATGCGACATGGTACGGGTACCGTTTGTCTGTCCCCAAGCTGGTTGCTTCTTATCTGACATCTGCTGAGCACTGGAGGGGCCCCATTGTTGGCGGCGTTGCTTCTGAGCATTTTCGGGTTGAGATTCGCGTGCTCGATCCTCGCGCTCAGCGATCGAGATGGTAACATTTCGTACTCGCGGACGTTGCACACTTGCAGGAGCGTGGTCCCTCCCTTCGAAATACTGAATCTCATGTTCGACGCCATCTTCTTCCGATTCTGGAATGGCATACGTTGTAGGCGCATGAGGCATCTTGTGTGTGCTGTATATCCGCGGGGCTTGCGTGCTCCATGAGGTAGCTCGTGTGTCGGTTTTAGGGAAGCTCCAGCCAAAGTTCGAGGCCTTAGAAGGTGCCGAGCTTGTTTCCGTATATGCGACACCTTTGCCTTCACGAGTCACTGGACGCGAGTCTTCGTCATCGTCAGGCTTCTCTGTGTCTTCGAGGATGGTTTCTGCTGTAGGCTGGAGGCGGACTGGAGAGCCTGTTCTAGTATCTAGCTCAGTCGTATCTTCTACTGTCAGATCAGGGATGTTGCCGAAAGGATCATCCTCGCTAGCATTCATGGCGCTTGGTTCTTCCGCTTGTAGCTGGTGCTGCCTGGACGGGTTCTTCTGGCGGACCCAAATGTTCTTGTCGCGATCAAAGCTCATGCCTGCGACTTGCTGAGGGATAAGATGCGCCACCGCTTCGGGAGCTAGCGTCGCGACACATTCCGAACGACGTGATGCGTTTGTGACAATTGTGTTTCCGAAAGATGAAGCTGTCGAAAGGAGTGTGGCATTTCCACGAGGCGCAGAACTAGGGCGATGGTCCTCGTCATCCTCGGGCTGGTGCCTGTTGGGGTTGTCCGTGATCCGAATATCATCCTGCTCAACCACCACGCTCTCTCCTTCTGGTGTTGCAGATCCTCTCAGGCGTGATACTCGAATAGAGTTGACCGAAGAGTTCAAGAAAGTATCGTTCTCGTTTTCTTGGTATTTGCGGAGGTGATTCTCGATTCTTGCATCTATGTCTCGCTTATTCGCGTCCTGCCAAGATGACTGTCGCCCTTCCTTGCTCGGGGGCCTTTCAAACGTTAACATACTGGAAGGATGGTCGTTGACTTCTTCGAGCAGCTGAGTCTCGGCTTCCGTTTCTTCGAGACTGCCCAAACCACTAGTTGGTCGACCCTTGGTGCGGATAAAGTCCATGATCTTGAGCGCTTCATCCAGGAAATCTTGCGTGGTTACAGATCGTTTGCGAGTCTTATCGCGCGCGCCAGGCTGCCTCCTCAAAGTGAAAGCAGCGACTTGGTTGGCGACCGCCTTTGCATGATCTCGTTCTGTGTCAGTATCTGACATGATAGATGAATCTAGGTGTTCCCGAATTGTGTTGAGCTTTGGTGAAGCTTGGATGAAAGCTTCTGTAGCTTCCATGATCTCTGCTTGTATCTCCTCTCGCCTTCGTTGACTAGGCGTAGGGTTGCGGGGTCTCAATATGTGCCGTCGGGCTAGCGTCTCTGAGTCGGCAATGTTCTTCGAGGGATCTAGGCTGCCGTCTTGCGTACGTCCAACAACCGCCTGGATGGCTGCATGCGAACGCTGTATTGTGCCTGCTTTAGTGTCACTCGGTATATCCTCGTTCTCTTCATCTTCATCTGCTGCAGTGATTGTCCTTCTACGCTTGGGAGTGGGGTTCTTGAACGGCGATGTCGGACCTCTCTTCCCTTCAGCATACTCGTGAACAACTTCTGAAAAATCTTCTTCTGGAAATGCCTCCGTCTTTTCCTCAGAGACCTTCCGGTGTGGTACAAACTTTGGCCGGCTGACACACCGACTGACATTCCTTATTGGCTTCGCTGCCTGGCTAGATACACGTCTACTAGCTTTTGAAGGCTGGCGTCGGACTGGTGATTCGTCAAGTTGGAACTTGAAAGGTTGGCGGCTGCCAGGAGGCGCAACATCTGTAGAGGGTGACTCGTCCGGGGCGCTATCGTTTTGCGCATCGTAATCGTCATCGGATGTTATTGCAGAGAAGTCACCAGAGAATTCGTGCTGACTTAGCTGGCCTTGGCCGAAAGACGGAAGTCTGAATGGCAGTTCCGACTGACTTTGATTGAGGTTCTGCATGCTCCTTTCTTCTACCGATGTCAGCCTCGATTGCTTCGGCGCCGCTTTGCTTGACTCTGCCGTGCCCTCTTTGACACTGGAAGCTTTCTCAGATTTGTACTCAAGCTGACTGAGTCGCCTCTGTATACGGTTACTTGTGAAGGTGTCATGCGCATCGAAGAGCTTCAACGGACTTCCGGAGCCTTTTGCTCGATCTGGACTCAAGAATTGTTCGCGTCGACGATTTGGTGTAGACGGGTTGGTGACCAATGCTGGAGGAGGCGAAGGGTGTTTCGTGGTTGTACTCGACTGAGCTGTGACGACACGACTGCTGGATGGTCGCGACCCAGCTATCCTTTCTGGCGACGGGCTGAGAGGCTTGCGATGGAAAGATCCGTCCCTAGAATATCCACCTCTTCGAAACTCTACATTCCGGTTCATGTCCGCCATGTCTGGAGTGCCAGCAGGAAGGCCTTCCGGTAGCGACTCGTCTTGCAGTCTGGCGAAAGATGAGTCCTCGCGGCTGTAACCCAGTGCGCTTTCTTCTTGCTCGGACTGAAAATGGTCCGGAGGCGGCGATCCGATCTGGCGTAACCGGTTGGCAAGTTCGGATCCTCTGAAGTTGGGAGCAGGGTTTGCGGCCTGGCTAGTCTTCATGTTCCCGGTCATGGTAAGATAGACAGGGCTGAAGTTTTCGTTCTCGTACTCTATCTGGCCGCTCACAGTCCGTACCGGGTCGCTTGGCGGCGGCATAAGATTTTGAGAGCATTCTGATGGCTCTTCTTCGTGTATTGTTTCGTCGTGGGAGGGCTCCTCTAGTTCTGTTTGTTGTTGTTGCTCATCTAGGGTGGCATCGTGGTCTTGTTCCTTTTGTTGCGCGTTCCGTCGCGTGGCTGGCCATGGTGGCGGACTCGAAGGTAATGGAACGGCAGAAAGACCCTTCAGCAGCCCAAGCCTGCGCTTTGGTTGCGCAGAGTCATCTGATGCACCTCCAGCCGGCGGTTGGAAGATATTCTCAAGACCTGTGGGGCCAAACAAGTCGGTCTGACCGCCGTAGCCTACTTCGCCATTGACGAGCCTGCGCCTCCACTCGGGCGTGTCATGGGATCCTGGCTCTTTTGTAGGTGATCTCGCGACCGTGTTGTGTGCGACTGTTCCATAGTGAATGCCGGAGCCTTGCGAGATGGAAAAGGACGAGTACGAGGCGCGACGCGGGGGCTCAATGTGTGACGCGTTGGGCGATGACGGGGCGGGCGGGGCGTTGATGTCGCTGTAGCTGCGCTCGAGGAGGGCGCTCCTCTGCTTTGGCGGCCGCAGCTCTTTGCCGATGCTGCGCACTTGGACCTCGGAGAAGGAGCCTGAGGACTGTCGCATGCGGGGAAGACGACTGCGGGCCTTTGCCGCGCTCTGGGGAGTCACGGCCGGGCTTTGGACATTGCGTGCAATTGTGGCTGGCGATTCCTGGGGCCATTCTTCGGAGAGCCCTTCAAAATAGCTGGGCTGTGGAGGGTTTTTGGCCATGGTGGTGGTTGTGGTGGTTGTCTCGGCCGGTGCCGCGTTGGCCGTGTTGATGTCTCAAGTTTGGGCGCTGGAAAATGAAGCGGTGAGGAGGAAACTTGCTGGCTGGCGCCGACGCGTCAAAATAATGCTGCTATCTTAGCGCAAACGGCATATTGCTTCTGCGGCTTTCTCAATGGCGGGCGCAACGTCCAAGAACGCGTCGACGAGTCGTGCTGACTTGTTATCGGGTGTATATCGATATACTAGCGAGCATCTATGACATCTGATGCCGGATGCACGGCCTATCCCCGCGTGCGCTAAGGAGTCGTTCCCACAGCAACCACATACGATCTCCCGCAAAACGCAAGACGACAATGCGCCGACGACGACTGTCCCGTCAATCAAGAGGACTAGACCGTCCCGAGAAAACGGCTATTCCATCTTAGAGACGGTAGCAGATCTTGTCTTGGCGGATTCATTCGCTTGTCTCCCGAGCTTGTTTGTTGAGCTTGGTCCTCCCTTCACGCCGCCGTGGCACCTGCGACACAGACGCCGGTTGACGATGCGACTCGACCCGACCCCACCTTATTTTTACATCATCACTGCTGCTACCCATAGAACATTGTCACATGCTGGACTCTAGCTAGAGCTGCATTGTGTCGAGGACAAGCTTCTCGTCACGATTGCCCGTAAACATGCCGCTCTATTTACACCCTCACCTGAAGCGGGGACTGGACTTTGATGGCTTCCATGTCGACCCAGAAGACCTCCTCGAAGAACCGCTCGCAGAATACGAGGACGCTGAGCACCGGGCAGCGAAGAGACGAAGAATCGAAGCGATTGCATCTCGATATCTGCGTGGCCGAGCACCCGTCATCGTCACAGCAGGGCTAAGAGGACCCTTCAACAATGACTGGAAGAACCCATGGGCGAAACCCATAGTAGAAAAGAAGAAGAAGAAGAAGAAGATACCACACAAGAGCAACAAGGCCGCTGTTGGTCGAAGAGATGCAATTGGGCATAGGAGCAGTGCAAGGGTGAGGAGGAGCACTGAAAGCGTTGTCGTCCAAGAATCCGCGCCGCCCCAGACAGAGTCGCCAGAAACATCAAGGGCTGTCAAGGACGACCTGGAGCGCCACGAACACGACGATAGCCTCGACGGAATCGAAGTCCCGCCCGCGACAGCGCCCTTACCCGACGACGACGACGACGACGAAGATGTACCCGAGACGATAGAATCCGTGAGCATATCCACGGCTAGATGCATACAAAGTCGCTCTCCCATGACAAACCCATTCTGGTTGCGTCGCCCTGATTCCGCCAGAGTCGACATGCGCAAAGCCACAAACCGGAACACGGATACGTCTCCAACACGGTCACGGTCGCGAAATAGCGCCTCACAAACACAAACGTTATCACAATTGCGGCTCAGTCTCCCAAAAGCACCTATCCACGCTCGGATATCGGCACTTGGAGCATTGGAGCAAGAGGAACGGGCATCAAGCGCGTCGGCTTCCATGATGATATCCCCACCTACCAGGGGTGCTGATACGGAAGTTCAGGCACAAGTCCTAACCGCTGCAGACTCAGTAACCGAGGCAGGTGATACTTCGGCTCTGACCATAGCAACACCTCACAGCAGTCAGTCGGGACAACGGTCACAGCGGACAGTACCGATCATCACCTCTTCGATAGGGAGTCAAGGAAGACGTACAGGAGGTGATGTACAGCGGTCTGCGGGCCGATCTATCAACTCAACATCAGCCTCGAAACCCAGAGAGCCGCCACGACGCTCCAGTCACCAAGATACACATAATGCATCCACGCCCAGGCCAGTTTCTAGAAAATCGAAACTGAGGCCGAGAGCAGTCAACTTCGACTCATCGCCAGAGAAAGCTCCCTCAGTCAGAGAGCCAGTTGCTGGGAAGACTGCTACCCAGGATGAAGCCAAGAATGAGCTGCAGGAGGTCTGCACAGAGGAAGTTACTGTTGAAGTGCAAGCATCTCCGCAGGTGGAAGGACATGTTACCGTGGTCCAGGATGAGAATCCGGATTTCCGCACAAGTCGAGGCAGTCATAATTCTGACTGGTCTACACAAGCCGCATTGCTGCGAGCTCAGCTTGAGTTCCAGCAAAGCACTTTCCCCATGGTATCGCCTGAGGTCCTTCGGTTGGATTCACAACCCTCACTTCTAGACACATCCCGTCCTTATTTGGCCGCTCCCATCGCAGCAACTACACCCCATTCTAGCTTCACGGTCCAGCGAGACGAGCCGCTCGCACCCGAGACTGTACTGCAGGCTCCACCCATCAGTACGCAGGACCTCTTTGGCGCAGCGTCACCATTTGCGTTCAGCACAGTGAAGAAGAAGCCCGAAGAATCACAACGAAGCAACCTGCGGTTCGCTCTCAGTCCTAGTGATGGGTTACTGAAAGCTGACGCAATCGTTAAGAGCCCCACTCCTGGTACCGACCGAATTCCACTGAAGGATAAGAACAACATCACTTCGATTTGGAGCTTTACTACAGACAAAGCCTCACAAGGATCCCAGGGGCTTTTGAGTGACATGTCCAAGGGGGCGTTGAAGGACATTAGATTCCCAGCACTGGACATCGACACGTCACTAGGTGACTTCGGCCCTACTGGTGATCTGGATTTTACAGATCGATTCCTTCGTAATATAGACGACACTTGAATGCTATGACAAAGAGGAAATATGATTTCGTCTCCAGGCAATGCTGTGCGGGTCAGAGCAACACGGAAGCAGCGGCATGTTCACGTCCCACCAGTGGCCTTGGTCGCCGTGGCACTCTGTTCCTGCCAGATGGAAGCATTCATGTACCGGTATCACAGCGAGGTGCAGCGATAGTCACGTAAGGATGCAGCAGGCGGTGAGAGGCCACGTTCTCGAGTGATTGGTCGTTGACGTCTGGAGCCCATGCATAGTCAATGCAAGCAAAAGACCTTGGGCAGAGCACGGATTGATATCGGCGAAAGGGGTGAGGCAATCGCGATGGGATGGTATAGCCGGTACCGCATAGTTTGGATACGGGCCTTTGTAGGGGCACGGGGAGGACGGCGCGGAGGCGGAAAGACGTCTAGCTTGTGTCACAGATGTCAAGAATTGTGCTTTTCCAATTTCCAACGAAGCTGCAAAGTGAAGCTGCAGCGCGTGACTGCAGCCTATGGTGATGGCATGTGTCGTGGGTTGAACCTTGGAAGCGTTCAACGTCGACTAGCTCAGTCCGTGAACCGTGCCGACATCGTTCATGTGGCTCCTTGTGCACGGACGCTCCTGCCTCGTCTTCACATGGACAAACAACCACGACGTTGCAGCAATTGCCCGCGCAATTGCCGCCAAGCCCAATTGTCTTTGTCGCCAGAGGCCAAACTGCCCTCTCCACGTCCGACTTCTGCATCGTGTAAACAAGCATCGCACAGCACCGTCGCGAAACCACCAACCACTCGGGCCATCTGCACTGACGCGCTTTGTTACGCGGTGGCAGTCAGGCAGACGTCATTGGGCCGCTCGCTTGGGATAATCTTTGCGCCACTTTGGCCTTGACGCCAAACCACACAGAATTAGAACGTGGACCTTTCGCATCTCTCACTGGTGTCTTGCTCGCTAGCACCCTGGAACCACATCTGCAGCCCTCCCATCCGCCAGCGCCGCTGCTCTGCACGCTAATCTGGAAGATCCGCCCCTGCTGGCCCTCCGCTGTGTCTCCGCCGCGCCCAAACGACTGCATCCTGGCAAACGACCTGAGCGCCCACCCGGCAATATCTGCCACCCATCCTGCCACGAGGTGCCTTCCCAACGGTCGAATCAATGTCGAGCCCATGTCACCCCAGCCGGACGCCCAAGGAAATACCTCACCCCCCGCATCGGTGAGGTCGAACGCCAGCCATGGAGTTCGCACGCCGGACCCCGAGCACGACCAAGTGACGCCCAAGACCCTCTCCCAGACGGGCCGTTCACGCACGGCTCCCATTGTCCACGATAACAACAACCTTTGGAAGTCGTCAATTGATCGCCCCCAGCTGGACGAGCGCGACAGCATATTCGCGACTACATATCTCCACACCGACAGCCCCATTTCCTCTCCGCGGGCCAGCGCACGCAATGTAGACCCCGCCAACGATGCTCCCGAACACAGTCTGTCAGAGATGGCAGCACCAGCACCTCCCCAGAGGCGATTGATGGATCCGCCCATCATTCGTAGGAAACATTCCACCCTCCCGCCATCCACTTCTTCTATCGACCACCAAGCCGTCTTGACTACCCCCTTCAACCCCCGCGCTGCCATTGCAGCTGGTGTGGGTTTCGACGCCATCCATCACAGTCCTCCGCCCTTTATGAGTCCCGTCGATTCGCCCGTGCAGCATCCCAGCACCCCACCGCGTCCCGAACTCCAATACGAGGCTCTTCTCGAGAGCGAGGAGAGACGTAGGAATAGAGAATGGCGTGAGGGAAAGCCTGTTCCGTTCAAGGGCAACATGATCTCCGACCAGCCTGTCATGGACATTGAGATGGAAAAGAAGATTGAAGCAACACTTGCCAAGACTGAGCAACCTACGTCTGCCCGCAGTCGGAAAGCAAGCCACTATCTACGCGTATTCAAGGATGGCGACCCGACCGAAGAACCGAGGAAGAAGGATAACAAGGCGAGAGAGCGTCCGTCCGTTGAGAGGACCCTGTCCACGCTTTCAGAGGAAGCCACAAACGAGACTGTTGCTCTGATTGATCAGCTTCGTCGCGCGTCAATGGCGTCCTCCGTCGTACAGTCACCTCTGGGTGGTCCAATTGAGTCATACTTTGAAGCGAAAGTCGCACCTCGCACGGAACCAGGCGCTGTCACCACTCCTTCTGATGGAAGCACGCGACCGGATGTGAGCACTCCAGACAAGAAGCAATTCCCGCGGCGTCTTCTCGAGGACATTCGCGGCTTCGGAAACTTGACCCCCGGCGCGGACCCAAGATCGTTGCTCTCACGCAGTCTTCCTACCTCGGCTGTGGAGAAGGTTCACGCACACGCACCAACGAACGGATCAGCACACTATCACGAGCCGTCCGATTACTTCCAAGTCAAAGATGGAGGCAACAGAGAACGTACACCGGGCTCGGAGGAAGAGGACGAATCGGAAAAAGAGCAAATATCTTCAGCTCTATACTTCCCCCATAGGCGTCTCAAGACAAGTGAGCAACTGCCTACAGAAACACAGAACCGAGATAGAGAGGTGAATGCTGTCGAGAAGAGGGCTTCGACCCACGAAGTTGCGGGGCCAAAGGGCTGGGCCACAGAGAAGGATGTGCAAACCCCACAAGAAGTAGAAATTTCTCTACAGTCCCAAGATACCAATCAATGCCTTCATGGTGATATCTCCACGGCGACTTCCGTAAAGAAAGACAAAGAACAACCGCTGACATCCGCTGGCGATGCGCTTTCAGCTGAATCTGAATCTGAGTCGATTGCCGAATCTACCCAGTCACATCTTGGTTATGAATCCAGTGCGACTGATGACCTAGGAACGACGCCCACTGCGACTACGCACAAACAGGAAGTTAAAGCCGCTGCGCCACAGGTAGCTCAGCCACCTGCCCCACTGGGAGCTGTGGAGCTGAAGCCGTACGATCACCAAGTGGGCGGCCATTCCACTGTTTACCGTTTTTCAAGACGAGCAGTTTGCAAACAACTAAATAATCGTGAGAATGAGTTCTACGAAACAGTGGAGCGGCAGCACCCAGAGCTATTGGAATTCTTGCCAAGGTACGACAACTTCCCTCTGCTGTCGATCAAAGCTGAGACTTCAGCAAGATATTTGCGTTCATCCCATGTTTTTAGTCAAGTCAGTTACTAACATTGCTATCTCATAGGTACATTGGCGTCTTGAACGTGACTTATCGAAAAGCACCCAAAAAGAAAAAGGGCGCCAAGGACAAAGCGAAATCTGATGCCGCGCCAACAACTTCTGCAACACAGTCAGAAAATGCTTCAAGACAGGCTTCCAAGGCTCCTGGAGATCGAGGCAAAGATGAACAGCCCCGAGTAGTCAGTCACTCGCAACAAGTTGGTATGACCATTCCTCAGGTAATATTCGAGAACAATCGGCATATCATCCCAGACAACCTATTCCGTGTGCCGCCACGTTCCACCACTCCAGATCCATGGATGAGGAATTCCTCAATCTTACAGCAGCAACATCGGCGAAACCAGAGTGATTACGGACATGTCTCTCAAAGTCCAACACGGCCTCCGTTGCAGCATACCAGCAGTTGGGGTGTCACGACAATCAACAGAAAATTACAAGAAGAAGTGCTTCGTCAAGTTTTCGCACCGCCACCCATCCATCATCGGTCGCGTCACCACCACCATGGAATCTCTACCCGTAAGGCTGGAAGAGATACACCACAGACTGTGGCTGGTTCTGCGCCTACCATAAGGAGAAATAGCACAGATGTATCTGGTTTGCATCCACCACTGACAGAAGAGTGCACACGAAAACAAGTATTGAAAGCTGAAGCACACCGACATGCTTCCGACAAGAACCCCGATTCTGCCCCTTCTAGCTCGGCTGGACGGCCAGAAATGAATGGCGATACCTTGAAGCCATCGCAAAACACTATACCCCGCCGTCGTCACTCTGGAAGCGGACTTACTAGGAGACCTTTGGGAATAGATACTATCCAGAGACACAACCTGGAATACTATGAAGAGGACGGCTATGGTGGTGATGCCGAGGAGGAGGTATTTGCCATGGACGAGGATCGCAATGCCCTGTCCGACGCAAAGGAACAGAACAGGGGTCGGTCTGTGCAAGTTTCCGGCACACTCAATGGCTCCGATGCTCAGAGGCCAACGGAGGGTGCCATGCTGCCAGCTCCAGCTGTTCCTAATGGCACGGGTGCTCCGCCTAAGGATGAACCCTCCAACCCTGATCAGGCGCAGCACCAGCCTGACGAGCGCGTTCAACACTTCATCCTCCTTGAAGACCTTACTGCTGGCATGACAAGGCCTTGTGTCTTAGACTTGAAGATGGGTACGCGCCAGTATGGTGTGGAGGCCGATGAGAAGAAACAGCGGTCTCAACGGCGCAAGTGTCAGATGACCACGAGTGCTCAACTCGGCGTGCGAGTCTGCGGTATGCAAATTTGGAACGCCAAGACCCAGAGCTACATTTTTGAGGACAAGTACTTCGGTCGAGACCTGAAAGCAGGAAAAGAATTTCAGGACGCGCTTAAGCGCTTTTTCTGGGATGGGACGAGCTACAAAGCAGCAACGAGACATATACCCGTCATATTGGAGAAGATCAGCCAACTGGAACGCATGATACGAAAACTCCCAGGATACAGATTCTACGCAAGTAGTTTGTTGATGCTCTATGACCGTGGGGACGGTGAGTCGAAGGAGAAAGATGCAGCACCCTCTTTACCTAACGGCTTGTCGAACCCGAGCAACGAAGACGTTTCAACAATACCATCTGGACTTACATCACCAGGGCCGACAGTCGCTTCTAAACCGCCACCCAAGAAGCACGGAGAGATCAAGCTGAAAATTGTCGACTTTGCCAACTGCGTGACTGCAGAAGACCCTCTACCAGACGATTTACCTTGTCCACCTGAAAACCCTGACGGCATTGACAGAGGCTACCTCCGTGGTCTCCGATCACTACGCCTCTACTTCCAACGAATTTGGAATGACATCAACGAGGAATGGGTCGAACGAGGCGAGGGCGAGGGCATGGCGCGAAATCATCACCATGGCCCTGGTTTAGGTGAGGTTGGTGCGGGTTGGATGGATGATGCTGGTGGTGAGGATACAGGCTACGCCAGTTTCTAAAGAAGAGGAGGAACAGCAAAGCTGCCCACGCTCGACAGAAGTCGGACAGTCGATATTGATACGTCCATCCCTTTCCCCTTCCCTTCATTTCCACGTTCAGTCTATTTCACATTGTGTGCATTTTGGGTTGCAAGCATGGTGTTTTGGTGCATAATGGTAAGACAAAGGGTAATGAAATTGGCAATTCTTTTGGCATGCATTGGCGCAGCATTTTATGGGCGGTCAGAACCTCTGCGTTGTGGCTTTTAGTTTTTGAAATTCGCGGAATCTGGGGTGTTCTTGAGGCGGATTCTTTGTATATTATCATAAAGAGTAGGGTAGCGCTAGCTCATTAATACAACACTTTGAATGTCGTCATGTATTGGCCCACGCGCGTGTGCGCACATGCAAACTAACACCCAACTATCTCGACATCTCTTAGTCAGAAGCTATCTCCCCGAAGATATCCACACCCTTTCTTCCCAACGCTGTTCCCACCCCCACAGCTCCTGATCCAACACTCCGCATCCTCTCAAATCCGGCCTTGTCCTCCACTCCACCCGTTCCAACAATCGTGATCGCCTTTAAATCCTCGTGTTTTTCCAGCATGTTCCTGATCGTATACACGTTCCCCAGTGCAAGTGGATGCAAGGGCGCGCCTGCTAGACCACCTACACCAGATCCATTTGCTGACTTCAATGTAGGCCTGACGCCCTTATCCACCTCAGTATCTGGTACCATGAGTAAACTCGAACCCAGCGTATTCACGGCCGTTATGAAGTCCACTGGACAGCTCAGGTATACTGGCTTCATGCTCACACTTTCTTTCAATACACCGAGTAGCCCCTCAAATTGCTCCTGATACGTATACGGCGGTATCTTGATGCCCACTGCCACTCGTTCATTTTCATCTATTCCGCCTGCCTTGACTAAGGCGACATCGATCTCGACCTTGAGCGCCTCTAGATACGTCCGCAACGCAGTGAAATCGTACGCTGGCGGCGTTTTCCCGGGGATGTTGGGACAGGAGAGGTTGATTTCCATGGCAAGGCGCATTTTCACGGACTTGCCAAGTTCGTGGATCAAGTGGTAACATTTAGTCACTTCTTCTGCAGAACCCGTTACGGAGATGACGATGGGCTTGAACGTCTTTCTCCCGCTGGGTGGTTCATCACCGAGACCTTTGCTGATTGCTTTCACAAAACCCAGGTATTCGGAGAGTGGGATAGGTGAGTATCCTAGCGTGTTTAAACTCCCTGTCGTGCTTGCGTCGCCACCAAGGTCCTTGTTGGGAATGCTGGATACATGGGTCGAGGGATTAAAGAACGCGAATTGATGATGTCTAGAGTCGTGAGGGAAACCTTCGATCAGCGAGGTGCGAGTGGTGATAGCGCCTGTGTGAGGACAGTTGTAGAGCTCTTGAAGCTGATCGAGAGTTGTACACCAGGGGTTTGCAGAATTGAGAAGGGGCGGATCAATAGATAGAGGGGCCATCTTAGAGTTTGTGTCGGATTATCGCTGTTGAGCTTGATTGTCGTGTCACGAAGTAATGTATTACGGTACTGGGCGGTTGCGGCCCGGCCCAGTCGTGGAAGTGGGGTGGGCCGATAAGCTTTGCATTGTCGGCTTCGTGTCTTCAGATAACACCACATACAAAAAAAACGTACACAGGTATAGAAATAACAAGCTCTAGCTTGCAGCTTACATGAACTCATGACAAGGAAGTTAATAAAGAATAGTAGTATTGTAGGCTTCTAGATGTTCTATCTCTGTGTACATAGCTCTCGATACGCTTTATTGTAGTAGGAAGAAGTGTTTCCCTTCACCCTCGTAGCAGGCAAGCGAGGACCCGCTTTTCTTCGTTTCTCATTCCTTATATCGGCGAAAAGTAACTAAGTTCTATTCACGGATGTACTGTGCTCAATACTTGGTCCAGATTGATCCCTACGGCGAATTGTCGCATTGGCGAGAGTGAGGTGATGCAGGTGGATTTCAATGTCAACTGTCGGGACTGCGTACTTCGTCACTGGTGTATGCATGAAGGTTTTTTTGGAGTAATGACTGCGTGAAACCCATGTAACTTCTGAGGTGCCACCTTGTTCTCAGAATGAGGCGAATTGGAATGAGAGCGCCCATGCTGACTAGACAAAAGGCCTTCGGCCAGACTGTCGACGCTTCTTGAGCGCTCTCGAATGATGTCTGTTCGATATCTTGTGCGTATGTTGGTACTCGAGAGGTGTTCTTCGCTTCTCCGCTGGCGTTTCGCGTTGCTAGCAGCGTTCCTCAGTGTCGACAATTTATTGCTGTTCTCAGATCGCCTCTTCACATGAGTGCGCCTTGAAACATGCCTGCCTCGCTGAGCCTCACCCTTGTCAGAAGACCCAGTACTGCTACCGGGACGCCTTGTTGCAGGAGCGTCCTTGGTGGGCTGCCTGTCTCGAGGACTGTTGGTGATACCCGAACATACCCTGCAAGTATTAGTTAGAGTGCGAAGACATGACAGCGTAGTTAGATTTACCTGATTAAGGCCTTGTTCCCTTCTGTTCCTCGAAAATAAAACTGCTCGTTTGATAGTCGGACTTCTGTATAGGTACCTAGGTACAACCAACTATTGTTGTGCGTTGAGTGGGATCGTACGTACACAGATATTTCCTGGAAACAGAGTGAAGGTCGACGAAAGTGGATCCACTGGCTTAGTTCAAACACTCTCAACGTTTGGTTTCATTATTCACACAGCGGCTAGAGTCAAGTTCACCTCAAGTTGAGTCCAAAACAAGCTACTACCTATTACTTCGCCGCTCCTCTGCACCCGCACCATATAGCCCTGTATCAACCTCAAGATGTCTGACCTGACGTGTATGGGCATCTCAAAAGTTAACGACATGGACCTCGCCGAGATTCTACGGATTATGGCGAACCAGCGGGACCTTGGATTCTTGGACGACATCCGAAAGACAGGTCGTCTGCCCATGAAGCGTGCCACGCTCGAACAGATCAAGGCTTATCATGTAAGAAAAAGGCTATATGATTGCAACCACTCACTAATACGAACTCAGGCCCACAGATTGCAATCGTGTCCTGCCCAGTCTCAAAAGCCAAACGATCCGCCCCTCCAAGGCGAAAACGAGGATCGACAGACCCATACACAGGCGAACGATAACGACACGCTCTCGTATGTCTTTGAAGGGGTCGCCAAGAACATTCAAGTGGAGAGGAAGGACGGATCTGGAGACTTTGAAGATGCCATCCGTCCAGATGGAACTCATTGGAACCAGTCTCCACTTCCAAAATTCAAATCGCCTGGTCCTTCGGTGCGCAACCGCAGCGAGATAATGTAAGACTGAGCACTTCACAACCTCTATTGTGGAAACTGACATCCTTAGACTCGCAGTCGCATGGATATCCCTAAGCTTTCCTGAGCCGGTGCCCAGGTAGGAGATGGAGGGTACGTTCTTCACGAAGGCGTAAGGGTTGCCGAGCTGGTGGAAGGAATCTTAATCAAATGCCAGGAGCGCACTTTTAACGAAGATGGCGTTGTTCACAACTCGAGAAGCCGTCGCTTGGGCAAGGCCGCCATGATGCAGTCAGACGCGAACAATCGTGGCGATACCGAGAAGTTAAAGGCTAGCCAGAGCATCTCACTGCCTGAAACAGTCGATGTGAGTCCCAGGCTACGAGATACCTTGGCCCAAGTGATTAATCAAATATATAGCAAAGGCTTAACAAACTGCGCCAGCGCCTACAAGGGATGAATGCCCAGCGCCGCAAACAAATCTCTCCAGCTTACTCGATCCCACTCTCCATTCGCCTCTTCCGCTACACCCCCAACATCTATGCAGTGCTCTTGGCACCCCTATACTGGGTGCAGTACAGTCGGAACAGCACGAGCATTAGGAATACACCATCGCAGTCACGAACAAGACTTGAGTGGCCCATATCAATGTTCAAAGGATGCATGTGGCAAATTCTTTGCATCCCTGTACCTTCTTGCTCATCACGAAGAGCGCTGCAAGAAGAGAGAGGCAAACCTTAGCCGCACCAGCTACCGCTTCACTTTGACAAAGGCTGCAGAGGCCAGTCATCCACCCAAAATTATCATCGTTAATCGCAGCTCCTCGCATCCTCCGAAGGAATGGAAAGCGAAGACCCAAAGCATACATGAGGGCCCCAGGTAGCTACGTAGGTAGGCTCAGACAATACCGAGAAAAGCGACCACGAAGTCTATCAAGAAACACCGCCATCTACGACTGATCAGCTTCTGGTAGAAAGTAAAGAAGCATCTAGAAAAGGTTAAGCCTACCGAAGTTGTATCGCCTACGACGGGTGATGATCGTGGAAGAGCGCTTTTCAAGAGTTTGACGGCATTTCGGAATGCATCGCTCGGAACTGGTCGGAATACCTAGCTATCACAAGCGCGGGGTCTCCGCAGCCTACCATGACGTTTATCACCATAGTGCAGCACGATAGGGTCTCGCAATCCGCAAACGTATTCAGTGAAACCAATGGGCGAATCGACATCCAGAACACGAGTCACGACAAGTGTATGGCTATCGTACGGCAAATTCTCCTACGGCAAAGTTCCGACTTCCCATCCCGAACCGAAAGATTGACAGGCCTATACCGGCCCTATCGGATTGCCAGACTTGCAAGTATATTAAGCATCACCTGTCTAAAGCATTACTCGTTCTTTGTTCTTACTCTCTTATCCCAGAATGAGCTCAATGGCGTCGGCCGACCACGCAAAGAGCGTATATGCTACTACCAGTGAAGCACTCCAAGCAGCCAAACAACGATTCGCAGAGCGGAACGCTAAAAGCTCGCATCTACACGAGGAATCGAACAAAGCCCTGCCAGGAGGTAATACGAGAAGTGTACTTCACACTGCGCCTTTTCCGGTATTCCTGAAGAGCGGCAAAGGGTATCAAGTTACGTCCGAGGATGGTCAAACCTATACAGACCTCGTTGGCGAATTTACTGCCGCTTTATATGGCCACTCGCAACCCCTCATACAATCAGCGCTGGTCGATGCTATCAACAAGGTTGGTCTCAACTTGGGTGGAACGACTACCCTGGAGATGAGGCACGCCGCACTGATATGTTCGCGATACAAGCTTGATCTTATTCGATTCACAAACTCAGGCACAGAGGCAAACCTTCATGCTATTCAAGGAGCGAGGAAGTTCACCGGCAAGAGGAAGGTTGTAGTTTTCACAGGGGGCTACCATGGCGGTTGCTACACGTTTCCGGGAGATCACCCTGCCGAGAACTGTGTAGACCAAGAGGAATGGGTTATTGCAGAGTTCAACGATGTTGAAGACACGAGGAGGAAGATCGAGGAGTCTGGAGACGTAGCTGCAGTGCTCATCGAAGGCATGCAGGGTAGAGGCCCGTGTCTCGTGGGTACTCATGACTTCCTGCATCAAGTTCAGGAATCAGCAAAGAAAGCCGGCGCAGTCTTCATTCTAGACGAAGTACAAACAAGCCGTTTGGCGCCAGGTGGACTACAAGAAGTTGAGGGGCTAGAGCCAGACATCACGACTTTGGGCAAGTTCCTCGGTGGAGGAATTACATTTGGCGCATTCGGTGGACGAGCAGACATTATGCGTGTATACGACCCACGAGAGAAAGGATCTTTAGGACATTCCGGCACTTTCAACAACAATACGCTTGGAATGACAGCAGGATACACTGGCCTTGCGAATGTGTACACACCCGAAGTCTGTCGCAACTTCAATGCGATGGGTGATAAACTTCGCCTCCGTCTCCAAGAGCTTTCGCACGGAACCAAGATGACCGTTACGGGTTTGGGTACGATCATGGGTATACATTTCTTGTATGATGGCAAGAAGGAACTAAGAAGCTTCCGAGATCGGCATGAGGACCTTGATCTGAGCATGCTATTCTGGCTCGAGATGATGGAAGCAGGATTCTGGATTACTCAACGAGGTAGCGTAGCCATCATCCTAGGTACACCCTGGGAGGAGTTGCAAAGGTTCTCAGACTGCGTACGGGGATTTCTGGAGAGATACAGGGGATTGTTGAGTATTTGATCTTCATGTATATGGAGATCAGATACACTGGAAGATGGAGTTCGTAGCCTCCCTGACATTGTATTCGGTACGATGTCGTGTTCCATGCAACTGCAGCTTTCCCCGGGACTCTGCGCACCAGACTACTCGAGGTATCCATATAGAAGGTCTCATAGTATTGTCGCTACAACGGGGTGTAGTCGCACTTGATTGTGACATGTTGTACCTCGGACAACGAGTCACCAATGCGCTTGCCGTCAATAGTGGATGCAAAGCTCCTACAGATCATGATACGCTTGAAGATCCTGACCATACGCTTACCCCTATCAGCCAGTGAAAGGTTATCGTTTTTAAAGACCTACTTGTCGAAAGCCTCCTTGCAGAACATTAGGGAAGCTTTCGGGTCGTCGTCCGCACAAAACGCTCTGCTATACATGAAGCAATCAATATCGTAATATCAAGTTGATGGTGGATGAGTATATGGCTAAGGTCGCTATCGAGGGGCTTTCCATTTCTCTAGGCGAGCCACGTCAGGACGACGAGAAGATGCAGATGGGTTAGAGCGACGTCGTTATCGATATCCACTTCTTTCAATGCGCATTCTTGATACCCTCGGCTACCTTCAAGACCAAGATTGAACACCGGTGTCGTATTGCAGCTATCTAGGTACTTGTCCTTCTACGGGTGGTCCCTTCCAGCAGGCTTGCGCCAAGCCCGCGACGGCGTGATCATCAGGAACTCCCGTTCGAGGACCTGTTTGGTGATCGCGGTAGAATGCACAGTAGGACAGATATATAATAAGTGTTGCGTCTTTAGAGTATAGGAATAATCGAGAGATAAATTATTAATTAAAGCAAAGCTCTAAAGAGCATTACTTTAATATAGAGAGTACTACTAGTGTACTCTCTTCTAGTCTAGTGCTGTACAGAGTACGAAGAGACAAAGCTTTCCTCGCTGTGCGTGTTTCTGCCGCAGTATGTTATTTAGGTTGAGCGAGTCTTGGGAAAGTGTCGAGAAGGATTGCAAGATTTAGAGCAAGCGAACTAATAGACATACTGTAGGCTAAGATCCGAAGAAATATTTACAGTCTACCATCTTCAAAGCACGCTGTGCGCTTGCATGAACTTACGCTGTTTGGTTGCTGTGCGTACTCGCCAGCGCGGGTTACGATCAAGTCACTGACTTTAAAGGCTATGTGAGTGATATACATGAACAGCAGATATCTAGCTCTTGTCTCTCACCTACTCTCTCACATACTACGCTCTCTTACTTGCCCTCTCGCTAAGCCTCTTCATATCCCGAGTGTCGACTAGCGACATCCCTATCTTGACGTATATCTCATCTCTCAATCTTTACTCCTCTATCTTCTCTACTCCCGACTCGATTATTGCATTGACCGTGCCGCCAAGGATAAGAGAGACAGAGTCAACATTGTGAGTCAGAAGGTCCTGTGTTGTAAACCCGAGTAACTGATGCAAGTGAGCAGGCAACCCCACGACAGGAACTGGCGTTTAAAGGTCGATACATGATCTTCGCAAGAAGCCACAGCGGCGAAGTCCTTGAGGTGACCTATTTCCCATCCAAATCGCGAAGCAAAAAGCCTATCCTTGCACCCAGGCCGTTCTACTGCTATTGATTCAGCTCTCTAGCTCTTCTCAAGTACCTGCTTTTGGTTTAGTTTTCTAGCTTCTTTCTGTACTCACCATTGATTCAGTTCTCTGGTCTTTTATACTAGCTATTAATCAAGTTCTTCAACTCTTCAGTTCGGAAAAGTAATCACATCTGGTACATTGTGTTCGACTCCCTATCTGCGCGTGTGGCACGCACATAATCTCGTCGCAATAGGCTGTTGTCGAAGTATTGACAGACACAATCAGCCGCGGGTGCATTGAAGTCCTAGAAGACTACATCACTGTCACTGTTTATAAGTCTTCCGTTTTAGAGATAATGTAGGCTGTAAGCTTGAGCTTAGTATTTCTGTACCTATCTGTTTGCTTCCTTGTATGAGATGCAAGGTGTAGAGATGAAACACGAGTTGAGTAATAAGTGAGATTCTGCGTACGGATCTATGTAAAGGTACGTAGGGATCTTGACGTTCCTCGCACGGGTCACATTGCTAACCAGCGTGACACGTTCTACCACGTGATCGTGCGAAGGTCATCGGTTTTGCTCCACCACACAAGGAAGCATTGCACATTTCATAAATTTGTTGATAATTCTTTACATTCATTTATATCATCATGATTACTTGAGCTATACATAGTACCTATGAGATCCTTCGCTAAAAAACCAGCATAGCGCTTAACCGAACAGAACATCGCCAAGACGAATAGACACGGTCTTGGTCTGGATGTAGTTGTCCAGCGCCGCCTCTCCCAACTCGCGACCAATGCCGGACTCCTTATAACCTCCAAATGGCAATTGCTACATTGATCAGTTTGTGGTCTAAATCTTTGGGGGGGGGGGGAGGACGGTCATACCCAGTGAAGAGTGTTGTAGGAGTTAACCCAGACAGTTCCCGCACGGAGTGCGTTGGCAACCTCGATGGCAGTGGTGAGGTTGGATGTGTGTACAGCAGCAGCGAGACCGTATGTGGTGTTGTTGCCAATCTTGATGACGTCGGCCTTTGTCTTAAACTTGGAGATTGTGCAGACGGGGCCAAAGATCTCTTCTTGCTGAATCTTCATGTCCTCGGTTACGTTGGAGAAGATCGTAGGCTCGATGAAGTAACCCTTGTCACCCTTACGGTTGCCACCAGTCTCGACGGTCGCGCCAGACTTCTTGCCCTCCTCGATGTAACTGGATTAGAAGTTAGCAACGGTATTTTACACAGAGGTAGTAATGCTTACCCCATGATACGGTCGAACTGGAGCTGCGAGACTTGAGGACCCTGGAAGGTGTCCGCGGCGAATGGGTCACCGACAGCGTTCTGAGCAGCCCGCTCCTTGAAGCGCTGGATGAACTTGTCGTAGATCTCTTCTTGGACGTAGATACGTGAACCAGCACAGCAAGCCTGTCCGTGGTTGAAGTAAATACCAAAGTTGACCCAGTGGATAGCCTCGTCAAGATCTGCGTCGGCGAAGACAATGTTGGGGCTCTTGCCTCCGAGCTCAAGAGTGACCTTCTTCAAGTTGGAGCCAGCGGCAGACTTCATGATTTGACGGCCGACAACGGTTGAACCAGTGAAGGCAATCTTGTCAATGTCCATGTGGGCGGACATGGCAGCACCGGCGATCTTTCCGAAACCAGTGATGACGTTGATGACACCTGGTGGGAAACCGGCCTCCTGGATCAGTTTGCAGGCAATATATGCGGAGAGAGGTGTCTGCTCAGCAGTCTTCAGGACGACAGTGTTACCAGTGGCGATGGCAGGACCAATCTTCCATGACCACATGAGAATAGGGAAGTTCCATGGGATGATTTGACCGCAAACACCAATCTGAGAGCGTTAGCTATGAGGCCTGAATATTGAGAGAGAATTCACTAACAGGCTCCTTGCGGATGTAGTTGAAGCTGTCGGGTGCTGTGTCGACGACCTTGCCCTCAATCTTGTCGGCCCATCCTCCGTAGTACCTCAGGCAACCAGCGGCGGCGGGAACATCGACGTTCTTGGCCATGCTGAAGGCCTTGCCGTTGTCGAGAGCCTCGACAGCAGCAATGAGGTCGGCATTCTTCTCGAACAGATCGGCGAGCTTGTTAAGCAGCTTTCCCCTGTTCTCTGGCGTCTCCTTTCGCCATGGGCCGTTGAAGGCTTTGCGGGCAGCAGCAACAGCGATGTCAACATCCTTCTCGGTGGCCTCCTGAACACTGCAGATGACCTCCTCAGTGGAGGGGTTGATAACATCAAAGGTCTTGCCGTCAACGGCTTTTACGAACTCATTGTTGATGAAGCTGGTCGAGCTGTTAGTGCTGGCACGTGTAAAAGGCAATACCGAAGCATTGTACTACCCCCGAAGACAATCGGAGGCCATCGGGGGCCTGATATCCCACTTACAGTCCGGTGGGCTGCTCGAACTCGCCCGTCTGGGGGGTTGTGAGCTTTACAGATGTCATAGCTGTTAAAACAAATTGGGGTATATGAAGAAAACAGAGAGGTGAAGTGTGTGAGGGGTAGAGGCATAGGCAAAACTTAAGTACTTTCAGGAGCTCCGCATGACGACACTAGGGAGTATCTCCACTTGACAAAAAGACAGCAGCACGATCGCCCAGACAGCCTCGGCCATCAGGAGCCCGTCTCGAGAATGCTCTGTAGCCTATTGCGTGTCTGATAGATGCATGGCCGGGTGGCGCTTGACGCAACGGCGGAAGCTCCTGCCCCGCTCTTGCAACCAGTGGTAAGCTACCCCTCCCCCGCAGTTCTCCTCTGAGAGTCGCTGAAGCCGCACCTAACCTTGCTACACGCGGTACTCGATCCTCCAATTTGGAATAGACACCTATTGGCAGCTCATGCGCATCCGCAAAAGCTCGCGGATCTCCACCTACGTCGCGTGGCCGTCTCTATACAGCGTGTTTTCAGCTGCATAACTCATGTACTAACCTCGGAGCTCTAGACACGTACCAAGTCAAACATACCCACCATCGGAGCCACAGCGCTAAATCCGAAGTGGCAGCCCTATAACCCATATCGTCGCACCCCGAGCAAGCTCGGCCCGTTTTAAAGCGAGCACCCGTGTGTCAACGGTCACCTCTAATCCATTCACCGAGCTAGAATATTTGCTCTATGTCTGTCGGCAATGTGTTTAGTATTCAAAAGTTCCAGCTCTTCCGATGCGTAAGCTGTGTCGGATGAATGCTCCTTTCACCCAGCCATATCCTAGTCGGAGACTAAGATAGCCGCGGGCCTCCACCCTACCTAGTGGGTCGCGGGGAAAGTGCGACAAAATTTGAACTAATAATATTTGGCGTGATACTTTCGCACGAAAGGGTACTGCGGCGCGAATAGGAGCGCTTCACGGGCGAAGACGTTGTAAACCGGAAGGCAATATAGCACACATGAACAGATGATGGTGTGATGTGCGCGC